TGTATTAGGGAAAACATTGTATGAAAGTGATTCTTTGTACTGCCCGAGAAAAAGCTGGAATATTTTTGGCGTATATAGATCAGCAACTTGCTTGACAATATCACTGCATGAAAAGCAACAATCAGCAAACGTAGAAAGTGCTCTGTACTCCTCTTCTTCTTCATCCTCTCTCTTATTATCAAGCATCCTATCAAAATGTACAAAGAACCTAGGAATACTAAATTCTGATTGCAAATAACGACGAAGATTACTATTGCAACACTCGCTTAACTAGGTGCTCTTCATACCAACACCAAAATGAGAATTCACCCGCCGATGACCACTTCTCCCTGCCTTGTAAATACCTTGTAACCAATTGTATCCAAGAGGTCCTTTCCCAGGCAAACACTAATCTATCATTCTTTTCCAATTATACTCAAAATCATCCTCATCATCAACATTGTACATCAAATAGCTAAGCTGACAAAGGAAAGCCGAATCACACAAAGATCCCAGATTAACAACTGCATTCTGTGAGGTATGCCATGAAAACAATCCATGGAAACAACTTGGGAAAACAGACCTTATACCAGCAGCAATTGCAGCAGCCTGATTAGTAAAAATAGACGATGGGCTCACACCTCTCATGCATTCCAAAAACTGATTAAACAACCATTCAAACGTTGCCATTCTTTCATCATATAGAATGGTAGCTGCAAACACAGTGAGTTGATGATGGTTGTTGAAACCAACAAACAAAGCCACACATACCATGTGGTACACAGTGTTAAAAAAAACCACAAAATACCACTATAGTATTAACAGATAACAACATAATACCAAATCAAAATAACTATAATACAGAATAATGACAAATATAAGAACACATACCTAGTGGTCGATACTCTTTATTCGTTCTGTATGTAGTATCAAACCTAATTGAATCACCGAAAAAATGATAATCCATCCGCATCTTCCAATCTGCCCAAAAAATACTAGCAATATTCTTGTCCACATCAACCTCTACCTCATGAAAAAAACCAGGATCTAGCTTAGCTTGTCGAATGAGACCCACCTACCAAATGAGACCCACTCCTTACAGCCCCATCCCACATACAAACCGCCACAGTAGATCCATTTGAACCCAAGGGAGGTGTGAGAGAGTTGGGCAACTGGGGGGGAGGGGGGGGGCATGGTCCACCGGTAGATAAGGCCACTCTTGAACCTGCTGCTTAACTGTCGCATCAAGGCTGAAATCCCATACTGCTTGCCCTTGAAGACAACACGGTTACGAGATCGCCAAATTCTCCACAGGACAGCAATCACCGACATGAACAAACCCGATTGATGAACCAAGGCCAATAGGTTTTTCAGAAAGAGCGGGAAGGTATGCCGAGGCAACCCTTCCCCAAGGTAAGCAAGCCGAGTATGATCCCAAATGGCGCGAGAGACTTGACAATCAAGAAACAGATGCTCCATTGTTTCAGAATCTGCCAAGCAAACCGGACATCTAGGTAACACCGCAACCTTCATTTCAATCAGGCCTCCGTAGTGGGCAAAATTCTATGATAGATTTGCCAGAAAAACACTTTAAGTTTTGGAGGAATATTAGCCTCCCATAGCCTGATCCAGCTGGCCTTATCCATCCAGCTTGCCAGAGCCCCATCTACCCTTCTGCTGATCAAGAGTAACCGTGAAAAGGTATGATGACTTAGCAGTGAATACCCCATCAGAAGTAGCATGCCATATCAGATGATCCTCTATATTCTGGCGAGGAAGAGGGATAGCTTTAATAGCTTGGCAGGTCCTTGGGTCAAACCATTGTCTGAGTTTAAAAGCACACCACCTCCCCTCTCCAGGCCAAATAACCTTAGACACCTTTAAATCCTCCCCTTCCGGTAACACACAGGGATTATACATAGGGTGAAAAGGATGTTGTTGAGGGATCCAATTAGAGCTAAACAGAGAGGCCTTCTGGCCATTACCAATCTGCCAACGTAATCCCGTCACCAACAGCTCCCAGCCAAAGAGGATACTCTGTCATCCCCACAAAGGGCGAGAACGAGTCATAGCAGTGAGGAAAGACCCATTGGGGAAATAATTTCCTTTGTAAACCTGGGCAATGAAGGAATGGGGTTCATTCAGGATTTTCCAGCCTATTTTAGTCAAGAGAGCCTGATTAAAATGCTCAAAGAGGCAAAAACCCATACCCCCTCATGCTTACTTCTGCACATATTCCTCCAGAAACCCCATCTAATTCTATATTGGCCCTCCTCAACACCCCACCAAAAACAGGTTACATACTTATCTAGGAGGCGACAAAGAGACAGAGGTAGCTTAAAGCAAGACATGACATGCAAAGGCAAAGCTAAAGCAACATACTTAATCAACGTCTTCTTAGCCACTCAAGACAGCGTCCTACGCTTCCAACCCTGAAGCCTTGCCAACAATTTCTCCTCTAAATAGCGAAAGGGTAGCCATTTTTGATCTGCTATTAAAGTAGGGAGGCCCAAGTATTTATCGTGGACCCCCACAACACCCACTCCTAAAATTTCGGCCAAGAAATCGTGATATCTAGATCAATGTTTTTGCTAAAACAGACAGCTGATTTATCCAAGTTTACCTTCTGGCCACTAAGTTCCTCATAACCATTCAAGACCTCTAGCATATACTCACACTCCTAGAGGGACCCTATGAGAAATATATAAGAATCATCAACAAAAACAAATGCGAGATTTTGGGAGCCCTAGAAGAAACCTTAATCCCTTCCAGTTTTCCTTCCGAAATGGCTTCCGAAGCAAGGCCGCAAACCCCTCCGTGCAAATCACAAAGAGAATAGGAGAGAGAGGATCCCCTTGTCGGAGTCCCCTGGATGCGGAAAAAAGCCATACTGGTTGCCATTCTTGAGAACTGAAAAAGTGGTAGACTGAAGACATTCATGTATCCATCCTCTATAGACAGAGTTAAAATCCATCTTCTCAAAAACCGCAAGAAGAAATGACCATTCGACTCTATCATAGGCATTTTCCATGTCAACCTTCAGAGTTATGTATCCCTTCTTACCATGATTTTTGATTTTCAAGTAATGCATTAACTCATGTCCTAAGAGGATATTTTCAATAATATGTCTTTCACGGATAAAAGCATTTTGACCTTCCAAAATGACTTGGGGTAGAAGACCTGCAAGCCTCTCTGTCATAATTTTAGTGATCACCTTGTACACAAACTGGCATAAACTGATGGGACAGAGCTGGCGCATGGTCTCCACCTGATCCACTTTTGGGATCAACGTAAGCCAGGTGTGTTTAAAGCTACGAAGCATCCTACTTGTTGCAAAGAACGAGCATACAACTTCTACCACCAAGTCACCTACAACCCCCCGGAAAGCTTTAAAAAACTTCCCCGTGAAGCCATCCGATCATGGTGCCTGCTCGAGCCCATAGAAAAGCTCGTTTTGCGGACTTCACTAGGGAGGACTTCAGCAGTCTGGCATTCATTTCCGGAGTAACACTGGAAGCAATGGGGGAGCTACACCACCCTATCCCTCATATAATGCACCTAGTTCTCCGCTGAGAAGATGGTCTGATAGAAATTGGTGGCGATGTCAGCCTTCCCATGCTCTTTAGTAATCCACTCTCCAGCATCATTACAAAGTCCAAAAACAAAGTTCTGCTTGCGACGGGCCCTCGTGACCGTGTGAAAATAAGATGTGTTCTTGTCTCTCTTTTTCAGCCAATGAACACGAGATTTCTGCTGCCAATAGACTTCCTCTGCTTCCTATTGTCTACTCAATTCACACTCCAGATATTTTACCTCATTCCAATTGATCGGATGAATGGACTTTATACGCTCAATCTCATCTTGCAGGGTATGGATATTACAAAGGGAGTTAGTACTACCCGCCCTGCTCCAATTATAGAGCAAATGGCGAAGTCTTTTCAACATCGGAGCACCATAGCCTTTACATCTGGATTATCCGCCCATCGAGCATCAAAGCAAAATAAAGGGCGACACGTCCGGACATAGGGTTTATTAGAAAGAAGTAAGGCCCGATGGTCGGAACCTTGATCTGTGAAATGCTTGACCAAAGTCTCTGGGAAAGGATCAATCCAATTCTGGGAATACAACGCCCTATCAAGCCTCTCACGAATACAATCCAACCTCATACGTTTGTTAATCCAGGTGAAAGGATCGCCCTGGTATCCTGGATCATGCAAACCCAGGTTTTGGACAAGATTCCAGAGATCAATGGATTGGGAAGCATTCCAAGGGTTTTGTCCATCTTTTTCATTTTCATTGAGGGTAACATTGAAATCTCTAATTATCACAAAGGGAAACTGAAGACCCTCACAAATTTCGTGCAAACAAGTTAATTGAGTAGCTCGAACGCTGTCATTACAACTCATATAAACACAAATCATGACATACGAAGAACTATTATAATTAATCCGAGTAAAAATGCAGAAACTATAATGAAAAAACATTGAAGCCTCAACATCGAGGGACCAAGCTACAACTAGACCACCAGAGCCATTAATAGCATCAACAAAAAAACATTGGGAAGAAACAAAACCTAAACTCTGCAATCTACGGGAAACTACTCTCCGACCCGATCTTGTTTATGAAAAGAAAACAAGGTCTGGTTTATTAGAGTGAACTAAACCAACGAATGTTTGGAATGTGAGGGATGGTCCAATTCCTCTCACATTCCAGGCCAGTAGTCTCATTTATCGGATTGAGGCAACTCTTGGATGGCTTCCTCCACCATTTCAGTCTCGAACTGATCTTCCACAAACTATTTCTTGGGGGTGGGAATATCCCTAATACCTCTATCAATTTTTTGAATCGAACATTTACGGGTCCCAGTGTCAATGTTAGACCCATACTCGTTCAACTTCATAATCATTTCTCCTTTAGCAATTTCCAAACATTCTTTGTCTCCATTAATGACCATATTAGCCTCAGAAGTAGCGACCACCTGTCGCACCTGTCCTGAATGGACTTGTCGATCCTGCTCAGCATGAGTACTCTTGCTTTTAATCTCAAAGCGGAGCTCATCCTCATCCAATAGAGAAGCTGCAGAGACCATCTGTTCTTCAGTCTTCTTGCGCACTTCCACTGCCAAATTTCCCTTCTCCGCCAATGGGGACACAAAACCTTGGGTGTCCGCCACCAGCAGAGTCTTGCCACCCTTACCCTTTCAGTTTCCTTTTTTCTTCCCTAATCGGCTTTGACCCGAGCTTTTGCGGGCAGCCCCAGCAGCAGCATGCGGGTGAGTTGACGACCCTGTCGACTTCTTAGCATGACGGGGAGTAGCATGCTTCTGGAAATGATCATTAGCAGTCTTTACCTCCTCCATTTTCACTAACCTTCGTCCCTTCTTATTTTCCTCTCGGACCGCTTCAGGTTCCATCATTGAGAAAGGTGGCAGGATGGGTTTCTCATTAGAGTCATCCAATATTAGCTTCCGGCACCGAACTTCAATAGGTGGAATCTTCACCTTGCTATGATCCGCAACAAACTGGGCATCCCCTCTTTCAAAATCGACCACCAAGAACTCCATTGCATCATTCAATTGAGTATTAGGTTGTGTCTAGCATTCCTCCGGCTCCACGTCCACCCATTTCTCTCGCTTGATGCGTCTCATAGGGGCGTGCCCTATGCAGACGTCATCAACATGATCACGAGGCATAGCAGCATTATGGGATCTGCCTAGCAATATTTTTGGTGACCTCGACACCTTGAACCCTCGAGGACTTTGGCGGCACTGCGTCACTAGCGACGCTTGTGGAATGGCAGCCCCCGAGTTCTGGTTACGGTGTCGAGGCTGAGGAATATAGGTCTGCGCCTGCATCTCACCGTCATGATCACTATGAGTCCCAGCTCCCTCCTTGCTATTTCTCTGTTCCCGATAACTTTATTGACCCAAACCGAATTAGCTCCTCTCGGGAAAGCCTGATTACGGTCTTCAGTGTCATAGATCCGAGTGCCCAATTTCCTCGTTGACATATGAGGTCCGAACCTTTCTTTTCGGGTTGGCGCGTCAAAAGTACACGCGCAGAGTGAATGTCCCACCCGTCCACAGTGATAGCAAAAGCTGTGAAGGTACCTGTATTTCAGGCTAACCCAGAAGCACTATGTGTCATCATTAGTAGCCATAATCTGAGACCAGAGCGGTTTTTTGGAATCAATCAAAGCCTTGACTTTCACGAACCAGCGACCCTTATCCTAACAGGCAAGGACGCCTGACTCCAGCACCTTACCGATAGTGGTATTCACCACTTTCCTCCCAAACTGCTGCATATAATAGTCGTCTTTCACATCCAACAATTGGACCTGGAATGGTGCAATTGTGACTCGGCTTTACCGTCACACTAGAAAATGGCCAAGTGCAACCACCTACTAGTGCGTAGTATAGCGGGTTTGGGTTTTAATGTCAACCTGGGTCCTAAGTATGATGACTACTCCGTGAATTCTTATTATTTAGCAGTGAAAGTGTAGTGAAGGTCTAAGCAAACAAACAACAAAGCAGTAAAATGTTGTTTTCAAGTTGAGAGAGGTCACCCGGATATGGTTCCTCCTATACTGCAGTTAAGCCAGATTGTAATTTACCAAGTTCGAATTCAAAGATAGTTATACTGCGGGAGGTTCTTATGCAGTCTGCAGTCTCGACTAAAGGTCTCAAGACCCTCTCAATCTGAGTCCACAGCGGGCAACTAACCTCCACAGGAGTAAACAGATTGAGGCCCTAACGAACCAAACCTCCACTACCGAAGTAAATCCGGTATAGGATAGTGAACTAACTCCTCGACTAAAGTCGTTGATTCACTACCTTCAATCAAGGATGCTCTATCAACCTAGGCATATATTCTTTTTCTAGGTCAAAGCAGAAACAACAGGAATTTGATTAGGATTCATGCCATTCATCAAATCAGACCTCAATTGAATATAATCAAATCAATGGATTCATACTTGGGTTCATACAATCAGACCTAACATACAAATCTAGGGTTCTTCATACCTAGGTGAATGTGGAAGTTACTCCATGGAGAGAGAAGCAAACTCTAGCTCAAAAGCAGAAATCATGCTATGAAGAATGGGGTTCTGCTTTTGATCGGCAATTGGAACTTCTCCAAGCGTTATCTGAGCTCCACTGATAATGAAGATTGATCTAAGGCGCTTGGGAACTCTGGTTCGTCGCTTTCTCTCTCTAGGTATTACTTTCTTTCTCTAAAACTCGGAACCCTTCAAAAATCAGCCTTCTTTCCCTTAAAAACCAGCAGGCCGCGATCCCCAGTCATTATCCCCGGTCGGGTATTTCAGGTGCCCGGCCGGGGATTTCTAAACGCAGCGCACAGGCATAGGGGATAATACCCGATCGAGGTCAAGAATACCCAATTGGGTATTTTTGCTCATCGATCGGGCCCCCTTTTGGACTCTGGGCGCCCAAAATCACTTTTCCCCGGCCTCCTCAGAATTTTACCCGGCTGGGTATTTTTGCTCATGGCCGGGTATTTTGCTCCTCCAACACCCTTCAACTCAAACGTTTGCCTTTTGACCCAAAACTCGTTCATTCGCCTTAACTTCAACGACAAGCCCTGAAATATGCCATAAACACACAACCTAGCGTGAAATCGGCTTAAAACACGGGAATCAACATCTCGAACGGCTCAAGAATGGAGGTAAAAATACGTGCAATCAATGGTCTAAATTCCCCCACACTTAACCGTTTGCTTGTCCCCAAGCAAACCTAACTCAAACCAATGCAACTCTCTAGACCTCTATAGCAACACACAACCCCGATCGTCAGTAGAGTATTTCCTAGATCATATAGTAGCTTACGAAGTCAACTGGTCTTCTAAGACGTTCCCTATCTCTCTCAATGCGAGTACTAGACTCAAGCCAGGATCATGAGAAGAAGTGGAAGTAAGACATCCAGTTCATGGATAAAGGGACTCACACCATTCACAACCAAGGACTCATTGTACCGGAGTGCTCTTTCACTTCATTTCACCGTTGGAAACCCCTTTTTTGCACTTTCATTTTACATTTTTTTTCCATTCACTTGGAGGGGGTTCCAACTGCAGTCTTTTGCAAGGTCGACCCTTATTAGTCGAGCAAGAACAATTTCTGTACATCTAGAGCTCGCCAGAGTACTTCTTTCAACTCCTTTTCCTCAACTCGTGTGGAGGGTCAATGAAATTAAGGGGGGGGGGGGGTCGGAAGCTCTATCCGTGCCCTTAAAAACACATCCTCGAGTAGGCAAACCGTTCAACGGGTGGAAGTTTTACTTGCACTAGAGACAACTTAGCTTCACCTTGTAGGAGTACCCCACTAAGGATCACTAAAATCTCTTCCAAAACCCGATTTTGTGCAATGAACGGTGCCACACACGTTGGGCTTACCCCATGTTTAAGATTTCAATGATTTCGACATGGAGGACCAACTATTTTTCATTTCCCACATGAGCACCCTGTTCGATACACGAGTCCATAACACACTTCAAATGGAGTCACCATTACCACATGAATTCAACGGTCTTAGCTCCACTAATTCACAAAATCAACTGGCACAGCAGAGGGCTAGATAGGAAAAATCTTATACTTGAACTACCTCCCTAGGTTGCACATTACTATAGATATTGTCAATTCAAATCATACTGAGTAGGCAATTTGCAAGGAACACGTACTTGGAGCCATCAAATCGAAATTTGGACAGTGGACTAGGCTCCAAGCCCACAAATAGATCTAATGTAGTCAAAATATAAACATCCCCCACACTTAAGTTCGACATTGCCTTCAATGGAGAAGAGGGAAGAATAACGGGAACAATGTTACCGGCGTCCACGGACTGCATGAGACTAGAAAGTGGACCAGTCTAAGTGAAGAGGACTGGATAGGGGATCAGTCGGGGCAAAGGCACAACTAAAGGGAAAACAAAAGTGCAGCCACAATACGTTAGGTCCAGTTGTCAGCCCAATAGTACATCATCCAAAATAAAATAAAATAAACCAAAACACAAGACAGTTTGCACTCCGAATCATACAAAAGCAACACAAGACGGGCAACGAGTACAACCTAATTGAGCTCGGTGGAGTCGATCTGTTCCACGAGGTCGTCAACCCCATCTGGCGGTGGCGGCATGAGTGGTGAGTGGTCCCACCGGGTGGTCCAGTGGTGCTCCTGAGCCGGGTGGCAGGACTGGAGTAGGTGCTCCTGGTACTCCATCATCCAGCGGCTACGATCCCGCTCCCGCACGATGCGAGCACTAGTGACTCCCAGCTGAGACACCATCCGGTCGAGCCGCTCTTCCACAACCGTCATCCGAGACTGGTACTCGGCCTGGTGGGCCGAATACTGCTAGTAAAACTGGACTGGATGGTCCATGAGCTGCTGGTTCTGGAGCCCGAGATGCTGAAACTGGAGCCCCATCTGCTGGAATTGCTCCGTGAAGAAGTCCATCGACTGACTAGAAGGACCGGAGGAGGACTCGCCTCTCTCATGTCTCCGTCGTGGCTGAAGGTCCGGGGGGGGGGGGGAGAGAGAATGGGGGCTACGGCTTATCAGCATCCATGGCCCAGCCATCATCATCATCATCCCCTTCCTCGCCGGTGTAGTCATCGTCGTCCTCATCCTCATCAAGATCCACATCCTCCTTAGGAGGCAAAGACAAACCATCCACTTAGGAGTGGGCGTCATCAGAGGCCACGAGGATTGCATTGTGAAGCACTTCCCGACTGTGAGGGGTGGAGCCGCCCCGTGTTGAGGCATTCGTGAGTCCCTCTAGGTCAATCTTGAAGTTGCGCGCCAGTTGGATGATCAGGGACCACAGAAGAGATGGTTGGGTTTCCCGTGGCAACGAGAGAAGGTGTTAGCCACGAAAGAACCCAACTGTAGCATATGCTCCGGGTACCCCATCGAATACATGGCATAGAGCACCCGCTTCGGGATCTTGTGCGAACCAGTGGCATTGGGGACGATAGAGCGGGTGATCAGCAGGTTGAGGATGTGCCACTAAGGCTTAAGGGTGCGGACGTATGTCTGGCCGGCGTCGAAGTAGTCCATTAGGCGCGTCTAGCTATCCGGAGTGATAGACCGTTAGTTACACATGTTTTCACCCCTGTTCTTACACCGTTTGAGATGTGGTTTCTCGTGTTTTAGACCGATTTCACGCTAGGTTGTGCTTGTTTGTGATATTTCAGGTCCTGGCAAGTGAATGAAGGTTTAGGAGCGAGTTCGGGGTCGATTGGGCGAAGATCGGGCACGAGACAAGTCGCAAAGGAAGTCACACGGGCTACCCTGATGTTCACACGGCCGTGCAAGAGGCCAGTCTGGCCGTGTGACATTCTGCGAGAGCAGACACGGGCAAAGCAGAAGATCGACACGGCCGTGCAAGAGGCCAGTCTGGCCGTGTGGAATTCTGCGTAAGCAAACACGGGCAAAAAAGAAGTTCACACGGCCGTGCCACTCGTGCCGTGCAAAGAGCCTGGAATTCGAACTAATTGGAACGCAGCGTTTTGACTCACACGGGCAACTGGGTAAGCCACACGGCCGTGCCACCCTGGCCGTGTGAGTCGGGATTTTCTGCTTAAAACCCGATTTTCAGCCAAAGGAGAAGAGGAGAGCTGGGTTTTTGGATCCCAAACACCCAAGGGACGAACCAAAGAGAGAGAGGGCGATTTGAGGGCATTCTTGGAGTAGAGAAGGAGGATTTCTTCGCCTTGGAAGCTCGAGGAACAAGCCCGGACTTGAAGACTGATCATCTGAAGATTCTTACTGCAGTCTCTCTCTTCTCTATGGAGTAACTTCCCTTCACTTAGGTTTTGAGGAACCCTAGCTATGTTTGTTTGATTGGATGATTGTATGATTACTCTGACTTGATAATCTTGAGTTCATATTCAATCTATGCATGTTTTCATGATTCAATTCTGCTTTAGTCGAGATTATTGATTCTGCTTTGATTCTATGAGAGGGAATACCTGATTAGGTCAATAGAGCACCATAGATTGATAGTAGTGGATCGATTGCTTTACTCGAGGGTTGATTCACTGCTTTGTATCAATTGAGAACCTCTTTCGATAGAGGGAGTCTAGTTTAGAACGCCTTGATCAGTTGTTCTAGAGAAGGATACGTCCCTCTAGGCAATTGACTCAAGAGGGCCTTGTTCCTTTAGTCGAGACTCAAGGTCTAGTCAAGGATTCTCCGCATTGTGAATGAAAGTGAAACAAGTTAGAAATCATCAATCGTTAGTCTGGCTAGTGGCTAGGGGGAATCATACCTAAGTGAGTTCCCAACCTGTAATTAGATTAATTTTAACGGTAGTTTGCTAGAGTAGTTTTAGTTCTTTCATCTTAATCTGATTTGCTAAATAATAAACTGAAGCTGAGTAATAGTAACTCTAGAGACCCGTGGATTCGATATTTATCACTTGAGCCACTATACTGCAGTCCCTTTCATTGGTTACACTTGGCCTTTGTTAGGTGTTGTGTCGTAGCGAGTCAAGTTTTTGGCGCCGTTGCCGGGGACTTTCTAGAGTATTAGGAAAGGCAGAAGTTTGTTACTTTAGCGTTTTTCTTTTCTTTTCTTTTCCACCCTTGCTTTTCACTTGGGTGTTTTTGTTTTGGTTGATGAAGATCTGAATCATGGATCCTCATGGCTTCTCCATCAATTGGGGGTATCCACCACCACCCGGGTGGTATTACCCCGAGACTCCGTGGAGCAATCAAGGCGGAGAAGACTATGGATTCGGGTTCCAGTACCAACCCCCTTACTACGAAGAACAACCGGACCCCTGGGCATATCCAGAACAACTTCATTATCAAGAAGAATTTCTCCCACAACCAGAAGGGCCATCGGCGCTGGAGTTACTCATGGAGCAGTTTGCTCGAGACTGTGAGAGAACATGCTCCAGGATGGATCAGTGTGTCCAGGCCTATCGTGAAACAGAGGAGATCCTCCTGAGCCTTAAGAAGAGCGTCGATGATCTTGAGCGATCTTGGGCACAACCTGCTCCAGATCACCCTTCTGCTACCATACTAGAAGAGGAGGAGGAAGAAGAAGGCTACAAGGACATTGTGGAATACACAGAAGTTGTCACGGAGAGCTCCCGTGATGGTCATGATCAGGAATGTCCTGTCGTAGCCGACCACACCTTCCCACACCCCAAACTGAGCTTTGAAGAGGCGGGCATGAGTGAGGAGATGCAAGAAGATCTCATGAAAGAAATTGCTTGGCAACTTGCTCTCCAATCCGTGCTAGAAGAAGAAGAGCAAGAAAGGGTGCAAAAAGAAGTTGTGGAGGATGGCGAAAGTGAAGCTGGAGAAGTTCTTGATCATTTCCCAGGGGTGATACCACATGAAGAAGGAAGGGAGGTTAAAGAAGCAATTGGCGTCCAGGCTAAGGATGAAGTTGAGGTGGAAGAGGCCTGCACCGGCCATGAGTTACATGTGATATCTCCACCAAACTTCGAGGAACTGCTTAGCAAGGACCCATTTGCAGTGTCTCTTTGCCAGACCAAGGCCACCTCGACATCGGTCCCTCTTGGTGGACGCGATGGTGGCCAATCGATGCTGTCTTATCTGGTTTGGGGCAATGAGACGAGAGAAGAGAAGAAGAGGTCTCGAGGGTGGAGACTTCATCTGCATCAAGTACATGAGCCTTCATCACCTGCCACACCACATGCTCGTGACTTGAGACTCCACCTCATCGACGAGAACCTCAACTTCAAGGAGGTTCTAGCATGGACCGAAACTTAGGAGCCATCGTCCGGCTCACGACGTGAAAGAAGTGCTTGTTGGGAGGCAACCCAACCAGTCGGTTTGCATTTCTGTCTCTATTTCTCCTCGGTTGAGTCAGTTTGCTATTTGATTTTAGAGTCAATAACTCAACCTTTGTGAGATTTTGTGTGGTGTTTGTGTTCTGATTACTCTCTCTTTCTGGATGGCACCGCCTGACCCGTTCATCATCATTCACCCTTGATCTGGTAACTTCGTTCTACCCTCCTTATCTTTCCTCCATTGAGGACAATGTCGTGCTTAAGTGTGGGGGGATGTTCGATTATGTATGCGGGTGAATGTTTGGCTGTTTGTGTGCTTGGAGCCTAGTCCACTGTCCAAATTTTTAAATTTGAGGGCTCCAAGTACGTGTTACCTTGCAATTGCCTGCTCAGTATGCTTTGAATTGACAGTCTTTATAGTAATATGCAACCTAGGGAGGTAGTGTAGCACTATGGAGGATGTTGATGCATTTAAGAAGTCTCATGTCTTCTTCATATTGAGTTGGTTGATTGAGTGAATTAGTGATCTTAGGACCCTTGAATTGTGTGGTGTTGTGGATTCTCTGCCTGTCATGGACTCTTGTATCATGTTTTGAAAATAACAGGTGCTCGAAAATGTGCTTCAAAATAAACGTCTCCCGTGCGAATAGGGCGAAAGTGTGTAAGGGGAGACGGGAATTCGTTCCCAATTTCCACCTACTACCTCCAGCCCCCTTACATGTCTTTCCCCCGCACGAGGCTCGAGACATCCGCTCCTGGCATGGCCGGTAAGAGCAGGTTGGGACCCTTGAAAAAGAAAAAAGAAAAGAAAAATAACAGAAAACAAGCAAAATAGAAAGAAAAGGGGTTCCAACCATCCTTAAGCAGAAAATAGAGCACCTTGAAAAATGTGAGTCCATGATCTTTTGTTTTTGAGAATCTCTTCATCCACAATTCATTTGTCCTTTGTTCACTGTTTGCCATGATGCCGACTCGATAAGAAGCTTTGAGATGACTTGTGCGTCGGTTGACCTCGTAAGCTGCTAAATGACCTAGGAAGTCCTCTACCTACGATCTAGGTTGTTTGTTGCTATAGAGGTCTGGAGAGTTGCATTGGTTTGAGTTAGGTTTGCTTGAGGACAAGCAAACGGTTAAGTGTGGGGGAGTTTGATAGACCGTTAGTTACACATGTTTTCACCCCTGTTCTTACACCGTTTGAGATGTGGTTTCTCGTGTTTTAGACCGATTTCACGCTAGGTTGTGCTTGTTTGTGATATTTCAGGTCCTGGCAAGTGAATGAAGGTTTAGGAGCGAGTTCGGGGTCGATTGGGCGAAGATCGGGCACGAGACAAGTCGCAAAGGAAGTCACACGGGCTACCCTGATGTTCACACGGCCGTGCAAGAGGCCAGTCTGGCCGTGCAAGAGGCCAGTCTGGCCGTGTGACATTCTGCGAGAGCAGACACGGGCAAAGCAGAAGATCGACACGGCCGTGCAAGAGGCCAGTCTGGCCGTGTGGAATTCTGCGTGAGCAAACACGGGCAAAAAGGAAGTTCACACGGCCGTGCCACTCGTGCCGTGCAAAGAGCCTGGAATTCGAACTAATTGGAACGCAGCGTTTTGACTCACACGGGCAACTGGGTAAGCCACACGGCCGTGCCACCCTGGCCGTGTGAGTCGGGATTTTCTGCTTAAAACCCGATTTTCAGCCAAAGGAGAAGAGGAGAGCTGGGTTTTTGGATCCCAAACACCCAAGGGACGAACCAAAGAGAGAGAGGGCGATTTGAGGGCATTCTTGGAGTAGAGAAGGAGGATTTCTTCACCTTGGAAGCTCGAGGAACAAGCCCGGACTTGAAGACTGATCATCTGAAGATTCTTACTGCAGTCTCTCTCTTCTCTATGGAGTAACTTCCCTTCACTTAGGTTTTGAGGAACCCTAGCTATGTTTGTTTGATTGGATGATTGTATGATTACTCTGACTTGATAATCTTGAGTTCATATTCAATCTATGCATGTTTTCATGATTCAATTCTGCTTTAGTCGAGATTATTGATTCTGCTTTGATTCTATGAGAGGGAATACCTGATTAGGTCAATAGAGCACCATAGATTGATAGTAGTGGATCGATTGCTTTACTCGAGGGTTGATTCACTGCTTTGTATCAATTGAGAACCTCTTTCGATAGAGGGAGTCTAGTTTAGAACGCCTTGATCAGTTGTTCTAGAGAAGGATACGTCCCTCTAGGCAATTGACTCAAGAGGGCCTTGTTCCTTTAGTCGAGACTCAAGGTCTAGTCAAGGATTCTCCGCATTGTGAATGAAAGTGAAACAAGTTAGAAATCATCAATCGTTAGTCTGGCTAGTGGCTAGGGGGAATCATACCTAAGTGAGTTCCCAACCTGTAATTAGATTAACTTTAACTGTAGTTTGCTAGAGTAGTTTTAGTTCTTTCATCTTAATCTGATTTGCTAAATAATAAACTGAAGCTGAGTAATAGTAACTCTAGAGACCCGTGGATTCGATATTTATCACTTGAGCCACTATACTGCAGTCCCTTTCATTGGTTACACTTGGCCTTTGTTAGGTGTTGTGTCGTAGCGAGTCACGGAGTTAGAACCCATCCTGGTTCCAGTCCTGTGGATGTGGGATCTCGAGCTCGTGCGGGGAGTAGGGGTGGTACTGGATCCCCAGCGCGAAGGAATCAATGCTCATCTCCCATGGACTGCCACCCAACATGAAGTTCACACCGGTGGGTGAGTCCCGGGCCGCTTTGGAGCGGTACCGCTAGGTGGTGTAGAACTCGCACACCAGCTCTGTGTAGGTGGGCTCGCCAATGGTCATCAACGTCCGCCAATCACGGTGGATGATCGCAGTGGAGATCTCGTTCAAGCAGTGCAGCTGCTCGAAGATCCCCCACTCTAGATGGTGATGGCGCTGAAGCACTCCGCGGGTGACCTTGCGGAACTGGTCGGCGTACTCCGGGTGCAGGCGCAAGTCCTGCACAAACGGGTGATCGAGTGACACGATCCTGGAAACGCAAGTAGGACCGTAGATGAGACATGAGAGAAGGGTGAGGGACGCGAAACCGTGTCCAAAAATGACCAGGGAAACTCGCCGAAAAGTGGTCGGACGGTCGCCGGAAAGTCGCCGAAAGTGGCCGGCGATGGAGGCGGCAAAGGACGGCGGCAACGGCCGGCAGCAGAGGACGGCGGCGGGAGCGGCGGCCGGCGGCGGAGGGCGGTTGTCGACGTCGACCAAAGAGGAGAGAGGGGAGAGGAAATGAGAGGAAGAGAGGGGAAGTTTTGGAAAAAAATGAGAGAAGAGAGAGGGGTGTAGACCGGGGGTTTGCTTAAATAGCAAAAATACCCAGTCGGGGATTCTTGAGGCACGGTCGAGGGTTTCTAAACGCGGCGTACCATGTTTATGGGAAACCCCCGACCTTGAGTCAAAAATACCCGGTCGGGTATTTTTGAGTCAAGGTCGGGTTTTTCCCTTTTTTGCGCCCCGGAACACAGAAGGGGTCCCGGCCGCGACACTAAAATACCCGGTCGGGTATTTTGTGTCAAGGCCGGGTATTTCCCCTTTTCGGCCATAAAACTCTTTTTCTCATTTTTTCGAACTCCCCTCCACGAAAGCACCAAATCGAGGCAGATCAGACGGCCTAACTTCAACACAAACGTGCAACTGACTCGAACACGACACAAAAACACAAAAAAAGGGAAAAAGAAATGCAAACCGTGGTGGGGTTGCCTCCCCACAAGCGCTTCTTTACCGTCTTGTAGCTGGACGCCCATGGCGGAACTAAGGGTCCGCGAGGTCCACCACCGACTCCGCTCGTTCGACCTCGTCTCCCAGGTAGAGCTTGAGACGATGGTCGTTCACTTTAAACGGTTCAGTTTGCGGGTTCGCAATTTCAATCGTGGCATACGGGAACACCTGTGTGACCGTGAACGGTCCAGACCACCAGGAGCGGAGCTTTCCGGGAAAGAGCTTCAGGTGAGAGTTATAGAGGAGAACTCGATCACCAACCTGAAACTCCTTCGGACCCCGCAACCGTGCATCGTGCAGGCGCTTAGTGCGCTCCTTGTACAACTTGGTATTCTCATAGGCGTGATAACGCCATTCCTCCAGCTCCAACATCTGCATTTTGCCTTCAACACCTGCAACACTAACATCCAAGTTGAGCAGCTTAAGGGCCCAAAAGGCCTTGTGCTCTAGCTCCACAGGTAAATGACATGCCTTTCCATAGACAAGCCGGTACGGTGAAGTACCAATGGGTGTCTTGTAGGCAATGCGGTATGCCCAGAGAGCATCATCGAGCTTGGTGGACCAATCCTTGCGGGACTGATCCACCATTTTCTCCAGGATACGCTTGAGCTCCCGGTTCGTCAGCTCGGCCTGGCCACTTGTTTGAGGGTGATAGGCCACAGACACCTTATGAGTAACATCATAGCGAGACAATAAATTATAAAACTGGCCCTGGAAATGGGTACCTCGATCGCTTATGATGGTTGTATGTGTCCCGAATCGGGAGAATAGCTGCTTCAAAAATCCACAAACACGTCTAGCATCATTAGTGGGCAAAGATTGCACCTCGGCCCACCTAGACATGTAGTCAACAGCAACTAAGATGTATGTGTTTCCAAAGGATGGAGGGAAGGGGCCCATGAATTCGATACCCCAGACATAAAAAATTTCACAGGTTATAAATACATTTTGGGGTATCTCATCACGGGTAGAGATATTACCTGACCTCTGGCATCGATCGCACCTACGTGCGAAGGCGTCTGCTTCCTTGAAGAGCGTGGGCTAGTAAAAGCCCGACTGTAGCACCTTCCTTGTCGTGCGGTTTCCTCCATGGTGACCGCCAGTAGGTCCTTCATGACAGTGAGATAGAATGCCCTCTATCTCACTTTCCATGACACAGCGACAGATGATCCCGTCGGCTCCGATCCTGAAGTGATGAGGGTCATCCCAAAAGTAATGCTTCAGGTCGGCGAAGAATTTCCTCTTAGTGTGAGTTTTCATCCGCTTAGGCAGCTGCTGGCCCATCAGATAATTTGCAAAATCGGAGTACCAAGGGGTGACACTCTCCACCAGCCACATCATCATCAGTCTCTCATATGGGAAAGAGTCGTTGATCTCCTCCTCGAGGTTGTCCGCATGTGGTGCGTCTAACCAGGAGAGGTGATCAGCAACAACATTTTTAGCTCCCTTCTTGTCTCGAATATCGATGTCGAACTCCTGCAATAGTAAGATCCATCGTATGAGCCTAGGCTTGGCATCGACCTTGCTCATCAGGCATCGAATCGCGGAGTGATCTGTGTACACGGTCACATGGGACAAGACCAGATAATGACGAATGTCGAAGGCAAACACCACCGTAAGCAGCTCCTTCTCCGTGGTGGTGTAGTTCTCCTGGGCATCATTGAGGGTCTTCGAGGCGTAATACATAGGACGGAAATGTTGATCTCGCCTCTGCCCCAAGACAGCTCCAACAGCAAAGTCACTAGCATCGCACATCATCTCGAATGGTAGGGACCAGTCAGGGGCGACCATGATAGGAGCATGAGTGAGCTTCTCCTTCAAGGTCGTGAATGCCGCTGTGCATGCATCGGTGAACTGGAAGGGGGAATCCTTCTCAAGGAGCTTAGTCAGGGGCAGAGCGATCTTCGAAAAATCCTTGATGAACCGCCTGTAGAACCCTGCATGACCTAAAAAACTCTGGATCCCCTTAACAGATGTGGGAGGAGGCAGCTTACTGATAGTCTCGATCTTGTCCCTATCTACCTCAATCCCTATCTTGGAGATCTTGTGCCCCAGAACTATGCCTTCACGAACCATGAAATGATACTTCTCCTAACTAAGTGCCAGGTTCGTTTCTTCACACCGTTTAAGGACGAGTTCTAGGTTATGGAGACAATGAGAGAATGAGTCCCCATAAACCGAAAAGTTGTCCATAAACAACTCCATAATCTCGCCGACCAGGCGGTCAAAGATGGCGAGTATGCATCGCTGAAAGGTGGCAGGGGCATTACAAAGCCCAAATGGGATCCTCTGGTAGGCAAATATGTCGAAGGGGCAGGTGAAAGTGGTATTCGCCTGGTCCTCCGGTGCAATGGGGATCTGGAAATACCCGGACATCCCATCCAGGAAACAGTAGAACTCGTGCCCCGCCAGTCTCTCTAGCATCTGATCAATGAATGGCAGCGGGAAGTGGTCCTTCCGAGTGGCATCGTTGAGACGCCGATAATTGATGCAGACACGGTACCCAGTCACCATGCGCATCGGGATGAGCTCGTTATTCTCGTTAGGCACCACGGTCATCCCACCCTTTTTGGGTACCACCTGGGTGGGACTGACCCACTCGTTGTCGGAAATGGCGAAGATGATCCTCGCGTCCATCAGCTTCACGATCTCCACCCGAACCACAGCCTCTAGGTTCAGTGTTAGTCTCCTTTGCGGCTGTCTCACTGGCCGCATCTCATCCTCTAGTAGTATCCGGTGGGAGTAGAAAGAGGGGTTGATCCCCCGGATATCAGTGATCTTCCACACTAGAGCTCGCTCGTACTGCTTCAGCAAGGCCACCAGTCTGACCTTCTGCTCGGATGTGAGGGTCGAGCTGATGATGACTAGAAGCTTATTCCCCTCCCGGAGAAATGCATACTCCAAGTGAGGAGGGAGGGGCTTTAGCTCCAGCTCTGGTGGCTCCTCCAAGGAGGTAGTGATGTGACTCACTCCTACTGTCACTCTAGAAAATGGCCAAGTGCAACCACTTGCTAAAGCGTAGTATAACGGGTTTGGGTTTTAATGTCAACCCGGGTCCTAGATGTGATGACTACTCAGTGAATTCTTATTATCTAGTGGTGAAACTTAAGTGCAGGCTCAAACAAGCAAAAACACAAAGCAAGTTAAACGGTTGTTTCAAGTCGAGAGAGGTCACCCGGATATGGTTCCCCCTAGACTGCAGTTAAGCCGGATTGCAATTACCAAGTTCAGTTGCTATGAAAGTTATACTGCGCAAGGTTCTTAAACAGTCTGAAGTCTCGACTAAAGGTCTCCAGACCCTCTCAATCTGAGTCCCCAGCGGGCGACTAACCTCCACCAGAGTAAACAGATTGAGGCCCTAACGAACCAAACCTCCACTACCGAAGTAAATTCGATACAGAATAGTGAATGGACTCCTCGACTAAAGTCGCCAATTCACCACCTTCAATTAAGGGTGCTCTATTAACCTAGGCAGATATTCTCTTTCTAGGTTAAAGCAGAAATAATAGGAATTTGATCAAGATTCAAGTCATTCAATCATTCAAGCCTCAATTGAAGATAATCAAATCATAAAATCTGTACTTGGTTTCATACAATCAGACCTAACATACAAATCTAGGGTTCTCCATACCCAGATGAATGAGAAAACTACTCCATGGAGAAAGAAGCAAAAGCAGATTCAGATGCGGAAACCATACTGTGAAGGATGGGTTTCTGCTCCTGGGCGTCGATCGGCACTTCTCCAAGCTCAAGCCGGCCTCCAATGGTGATGAAGATCAAGCTAGGGAACTGGGGAACTCTTGTTCGTCGCTTTCTCTCTCTAGGAATCGCTCTGTCTCTCTTAAACTCGGAACCCCTTCACTTGTGGCTGGAAATTGGCTTAAAACCAGAAAATCCCGACTCACACGGCCATGTCACACGGCCGTGTGACTCCCCCAGCTGCCCGTGTGGCTTTGCAAAATGCGGCGTTTCGTTAAGTGACTTCAGGCTTCCTACGCGGCCACGACCCACACTGCCGTGTGAGTGTCCATGCTGCCCGTGTGGCTTTTGTCGAGCCTTCACACGGCCATAGTGGGTCTCCTACACGGCCGTGTAGCTTTTGGGCATGCCTGTGTGGCTTCTCAGCTTCTCGCCAAACGTCCAAACTTCGTCCAATCGACCCCGAACTAGTTCCTAAACCTTCATTCACATACTAGGACGTGAAATATCACAAACAAGAACAACCTAGCGTGAAATCGGCCTAAAACACGGGAATCAACATCTCAAACGGCTCAAGAATAGGGGTAAAAACATGTGTAATCAATGGTCTATCATGATGCGAGGTGAGGATGAGATCGGTTTGAACAGCCTATCACCCTCCAAGATTGCACCACTCTCCAGAGCGGCCAACTACTCCTCCAACTGCGGCTCCTGCGATGCCTGCTCACCTAGAAAAATACAATGCTTAAGAGCATCGTCAGTCCATGCACTCGTTATAGCGAGTGCGGTCTCAAAATCAATAAGCACATCACAGTAATCTAGGTCATCATGCAAATGGGAGTGTTTCCCATTCTCAGACACAGAAAAAGTAGCATGTTCATCCCCAGCACGCAATATCAATTTACCACTATGCACATCAATAAGCGCCTTTGCGGTGGCGAGAAATGGTCTACCCAAAATCAAAGGCACATCCACATCCTCATTTATATACAGAATAATAAAATCAACAGGATATGTGAATGCACCCACATTAACAAGCAGATCCTCTATGATACCCCTAGGATGCACAATAGAACGGTCAGCTAACTGAATGCTCATCCTAGTAGCTCTAGGTTCACCTAGGTCTAGCTTTTTAAACAATTTGTAAGGCATGACGTTAATGCTAGCGCCTAGGTCCGCCAAGGACTTTCCTACATGCATGCTGCCAATAACAAGAGAGATAGTAAAACTCCCTAGGTCTTTGCGCTTTTCGGGCAGCTTGTTCTGCAAGATAGCAGAACACTCCTCGCTCAGCATCACTGTCGAAAGATTCCCAAGTTTCTTCTTTGTGGTGAGGAGGTCCTTCATAAATTTAGCGTACTTGGGCATCTTCGACAGTGCTTCCACGAACGGCATGCTGATGTTGAACTGCTTCAACATGCAGAAAATGTGGTCTTGCCACTCCTGGTAGTGATGGCATCCAGCTGCTGGTGAGGCTCACGAGGGTTGGGAATGGTGGTGGCAGGCAAAGTCCCCGGTGCTCTGGTGTTATTTTGGCGAGCAATGCCACCAATCAGGTTCTGGAGATCCTATAGTATAGCACCCTGGTTCCTTTGGCCTGCCTTCAGAGAAGTTATGTTCTGATCCATCCTCGCGAAATTCGTCTGACTAGTAGTCATGAATGCCTGCAAAATATTTTTCAGCTCCGTCATTTGGGTATCTGGAGATGGGGGCTGCTGGCGGTTAGGCATACTGGCATTATGGCTGCTAGAATGGCTGCCCCTGTCTGGGCTGGTACGGCTACTGCTGTGGAGCTGGGCTCTGCCTGGCCTAGAAGGGCTGCCGCTGCTGAAAACCACCTGTTGGTGCTGGGAGACCAGGTGGTTTAGTGATGTTGCTGTTATTCTAGGAGAAGTTGGGGTGTTGGCGCCAACCTTCATTATAGGTACCATTGTAAGGATCGAGGCTCCGAGCATTGGCGATGAAGTCAAACTACTCCTGGGGTGTAGAAAACTACCGCATAGCCTGGCAGTCTTCCACCAGATGGTTCGAGCTCTCACGCCACTAGCATTGAGCAACTGGAGGTCCGGTCTGACCTCTTCCCAGAATAAGACTGTTGGGCTGCTTCAATGTCTGTACCAACTCAGCCACCTCCCGCTCTAGCCCGGACCTGGCCTCCATGGCGTGCACACCACGATCCAGGGAACTCCTGCTTCTGGTACTCTGCCCCCAAGAGTGATCCCTGGCAGCCAAGGTACTGATCATCTGGTTCAGTTCGGGTGGAGTCTTGGTGAGAATATCCCCTCCTATGCATAGAGACTCGATCACCCTCTGACTCTCTAGGGTCAGAGCGTTGTATAAATTCCCCACTGTGAATGCATCACTGAAACGGTGATGGGGACATTGCCAGAAGAAGCCTGAGTACCGCTCCCAGGCATCACGAAGAGACACATCTGAATCCTGGCGGAAATGAGTAATCTCCCGCTGTATCTCTGTAGTCATCGACGCCGGATAATACCTGTGCACGAAATTGTCGGCCAGATCGCCCCACGATATGATGGATAGTGGGGGATGGGTCTCTAACCACCTCTCCGCATGCCCCGCCAGAGAATGGGGGAAGAGGTGAAGACGGATCGCATCATCGGGTACACCATTCATCTTGAACCCGTTTGTAAGCTGCAGGAACCGGGAAAGATTCACCCTTGCCTCCTCATCCTTCAAGCCATGAAACTGGATAGAGGATGTGATAAGTTAAATCCAAAATGGCTTGATCTCGAAGTTGTTCGCTGAAATGGGTTTTACTCACCGTCCATCTCGTACTCTTCCTCAGACTCATTGCTCAAGTGGCTGTCAAAGCGCTCCTTCGTAGCCAGTCTCGCTCGCTATTGTCTCCTTAGTTGGCGACAGGTGCGTTCTAGCTCCGGATCTAACGATAGTAAACCTCTCGACTGGGTGCAGGTCATGCACTACCTACACAAAGTCAAGCAAGCAAACCCGTAAAGGCACAAGTGGGAGAAAGCAAACAATCAATGCGAAAATGGAAATGCTAAAGTAACAGAAATCATGTTTCTTCAACAACCTAGCCATCCCCGACAACGGCACCAAAAACTTGACTCGGCTTTACCGTCACACTAGAAAATGGCCAAGCGCAACCACCTACTAGTGCGTAGTATAGCAGGTTTGGATTTTAATGTCAACCAGGGTCCTAAGTGTGATGACTACTCCGTGAATTCTTATTATTTAGCAGTGAAAGTGTAGTGAAGGTCCAAGCAAACAAACAAGCAAATCAGTAAAAGGTTGTTTTCAAGTTGAGAGAGGTCACCCGGATATGGTTCCCCCTAGACTGCAGTTAAGCCAGATTGTAATTTACCAAGTTCGAATTCAAAGATAGTTATACTGCGGGAGGTTCTTATGCAATCTGCAGTCTCGACTAAAGGTCTCCAGACCCTCTCAATCTAAGTCCCCAGTGGGCGACTAACCTCCACCGGAGTAAACAGATTGAGGCCCTAACGAACCAAACCTCCACTACCGACGCAAATTCGGTACAGGATAGTGAATTGACTCCTCGACTAAAGTCGTCGATTCACTACCTTCAATCAAGGGTGCTCTATCAACCTAGGCAGATATTCTCTTTCTAGGTCAAAGCAGAAACAACAAGAATTTGATCAGGATTCATGCTATTCAACAAATCAGACCTCAATTGAATATAATCAAATCAATGGATTCATACTTGGGTTCATACAATCAGACCTAACATACAAATCTAGGGTTCTTCATACCCAGGTGAATGTGGATGTTACTCCATGGAGAGAGAAGCAAACTCTAGCTCAGAAGCAGAAATCATGCTGTGAAGAATGGGGTTCTGCTTCTGATCGGCAATCGGCACTTCTCCAAGCCGAGCTCCACTGATGATGAAGATTGATCTAAGGCGCTTGGGAACTCTGGTTCTTCGCTTTCTCTCTCTAGGTATCACTTTCTTTCTCTAAAACTCGGAACCCTTCAAAAATCAGCCTTCTTTCCCTTAAAAACTAGCAGGCCGCGATCCCCGGTCGGGTATTTCAGGTGCCCGGCCGGGGATTTCTAAACGCAGCGCACAGGCACAGGGGATAATACCCGATCGACGTCAAGAATACCTAATCGGGTCGGGCGGGGCCCTTCTGGAATCTGGGCGCCCAAAATCACTTTTCCCCGGCCTCCTCATAATTTTACCCGGCCGGGTATTTTTGCTCATGGCCTGGTATTTTGCTCCTCTAGCACCCTTCAACTCAAACGTTCGCCTTTTGACCCAGAACTCGTTTATTCGCCTTAACTTCAACACCAAACCCTAAAATATGCCATAAACACACAACCTAGCGTGAAATCAGCTTAAAACACGGGAATCAACATCTCAAACGGCTTAAGAATGGAGGTAAAAATACGTGCAATCAATGGTCTATCAAATTGCAAGGTCATAAAAAATTTGCTTCGTTATAGTAGGAGTCCACAAACGGAGGTTAAGAATCTTGTCATTGATCACCCAAGGAGTGTGTTTAAGCACCTAGATCTTAGCCTCTTCACTGGGGAGCATGAACTCGATAAGTCCATGTTTCGCCATCACCACCCTGAGTCGTCCCTGGATGAGCCAAGGAGTGATCACCGATTCCTGCAACTCTGTGGTCGAGATCCTATTGTCAGTAAATAGCCGGCCAGTCAACGAATGAGCAGTGCGGTATTTCTTAGACTGCTCCTCCTCCATCGAGAATTGGACCACCTGGTCTGAGGTAACGTGAGCTATTTTCTGATCCTATAAGAGAGGATCATTATTATTAGCATATTTTCTTTCCATCCCATCTGGTTGTAGACAACTCATGCCCATTCATGCTATGTTGCCAGGGCTAGGAGATTCTACCGAGCAATCCAAGGATGCATAAACCTTTTCCCCATGCATGGAACGAAATGAGATACCAGCACTACAACAAATTCGGCTTATTACGGCAAAAATATTTTTTTGGCATTTTAGTTTTGTCACAATAGGTTCTATAATATGACAAAAATGGTTTTTGTCCTATTTGGTATGCCTAATGTGACAAAAAATAGTTTTGTCAGAATATTTTGTCAGTTAAGGGATTGAATGTGACAAAGTTTTTGTGTCACAATATTGTTTGTCAAAATAGGTAACCCATAACGGGATGTAAGAGACATAAAGTGAAAAATTATATCATCAATGTATATTTTGTCATATTATGTCTTCCCGAATTGTTTATATGAAAAATTGTTTTACCATAGTAGAGAACAATAATCTCATGCCTATATGACAAAAGGGTATGTTCGTCATAATATAGTGGTTTCATGTTGTGGCAAAGGAATTTCGTCATATTCGAACGTGTTAGACTGAAACCTCTTTCCTCGGGGAAAATAAATCACAACAAGAAAAATAAATTTCATAAAATAGAAACACTATCCTCCTTCCTTGTATCTCCAAATTCAACAGTCGTTCAAAATCTAAAAGAGCCTAAAAGAAAAATCACCAGCAAAAATCCAAAGTGCTCGATCCACAGTAACCAACACATTACCTGCGAAAGGGGTACAATCGATGATGTTATTTCGGCCTGATAAGTAATGGTGGATCCAACGCTGAAGCTCTTGCTCGTAGAAGTGAGTGTCTGGCTCATTTTGAAGGATGCCCGCCCACGTCGCTCTAGCATATGGGCAGGCCCGTGTATGGTGTTTAACCACTTCCTTACACGCCCCCTCAAACGAAAGCCGACTTATGGGCTCGAAGTTTGCACAGGCCCAGCCCTACCATGTGCTTGAAAGACTACGATTAATATTGGGGATCGTGAGGACTTGAACACGTGACCTCACGAACAAACCAGTTATGATACCATGTCATGAACCAATTGGTCCCATAACTCGAGTTGTTGGGAGAAGGTTATGTTGGATCTTATACAGGCCTGTGTGTGGTGCTTAACCACTTCCTTACACATTCTTGATTACGTATTGCTCATTTTTTGTTTTTAAAAAATATGCATATAAGTTCATAAAAATGACTTAACCCTTATCGTTGGGCTTGAGTTCAAGTCCTTAAGCCTCATTTTTTAAGGTGAATTTTAAAGCCTTCCTATTGGCTGGCAGTGGATTATGTAGTTAATGGGGTTTAGTAGTTAATAGGTATTTAAAGGTAAATAGGTATGCAAATATAATTAATTAATGATTCTCTTTCTCTCTCCTCCCATGATTTTCTCCATAACCCTCTCTCTACATTATAATTAAAAAGATATATGAAATTAATTTTATTTATTATTTAATAAAATCCGAATTTAATAATTTCCTTTTTCTAAAATGGAAATTTGAAATTTAAAATATATGTCTCTATCACATCTTAGCAACTTCCGATTAGTATTAAGTATTAACATTTTGTAATGACATTATCAATATTTACAAATTGAATCATCATTAGGGCTTTTCGTTGCATGGGTTTGAGATTTTTCGTTGTTAGGTATTCGTTTGTGTTATTATTAATGTTGTTCGACATGTTTTTTAATAATTTTATATGACATTATTAAATTTTTATGTTATGTTTTGTTTGTAACATTAGCAAAAGTGACATTGTGTTTTCAATTTGTTGGTACTTGAAGTTTATTTACTATTACATCGTATTATCAATTTGGTTCGCAACGATTTATAATCATTTGAAGTGCTATTATCAATGTTTTTCCCAAGCACAATACAACCATTAGCAAAAATTTATTTCATTTGTAAGATTGCTTATGTTTAGTGATTTGAATTATTAATATTTTTCGTTTATGTTTGTAACTTTGTCAAATGTCATTATCAAGAAGCATACTTGTTAGGAATTCGTTTGTTTATGACATTAGCAAAAGTGAATTTACATTTAATGATATAATTATGGTTATTAATCTTTCCGTCTAAGTTAGTAACGTAGTTGGTGTCATTATTAATAGGTGTGTATAAGCATTATCAATGTTTGAAAATAAGATATTAATAATTCTAATAAGGTACTTAACAATCATTAATTGCTATCATTATCAATGTTTTTGAATGCATTATCCATTAAACACATGTTACTTATTAATGCGTTTTTAGTGCTATTTGACATTAAACATTGCATCTGAATATTATTAATAATTTTTTATTACAAAAATCTATTTCCTTATCAGTGACTTGATCATTCGATATTAATGGTTTTTAATATCTTTGTTAAGAGTTTGATGTCATTTATAATCTTCAAGTCGGGCATTTTTACATTGATGTTTTGTGTTTATTTCCAATGAAATACTTTTCGTTATCAATTATTTATTGTATTCTTATTAAAAGTTTGGTGTTGAGGCATGAATGTTGGTATGCTTGAGCTAATATTTTTCTGGACAATATTTGTTTGACTGAATCACAGAGGTGTACTATGTCACAAGTACCCAAGATGTTGAAAATCAGTATTGTGCTTTATGATCATTGAGAATGATAATGTAAAGCAATATTAATTGATCATAAAACGTTAATAATGTCATTAGAAATCATTGGAAGAGGCCATGACTAGATAGTTATAAACATGATGTGAAAATGTTAATCATTAGTACAAAAGATGTTGTAAATCAATGATATTGTTATTCAAACTGTTAATGACCATGTTACATAACTTTAACGATCCATTCATAGGCGTTGATGACGAAACTATAAAACAGTAACAATTGATTCAAAATTGTTAATAATGTAATTGTAAGGAATTGATAAGTATATTAAAGTCATTAATAATGATGAGGTATAATAATAACGATTCATTTCATAAATGTTGATAATGTCATTGCAAAATGTTAATACTGTATTGCAAGTTGCCACGAAGTGAGAGAGTATATATTTTTAATTTTAAATTTTCATTTTAAAAAATAATAAATATTAAGTTCGAATTTATTAAATCTTAAATAATAATATTTAATTAAATTAATTTCGAATTTCCTTTGAATTGTAGTGGAGAGAGAGGGTTATGGAGAAGATCAAGGGGAAGAGAGAAAGAGATTCATTAATGAGTAATATTAATCATATTTTCATAATATCTTATTTATTCCAACTAACTATTAACTACTAACCCCTCATTAACTACCTAATCTAGCATCAACCAATAAAAATGATTTAAGAACCTCCTTAAACAATGAGGCTTGAGGATCGGATCCAACCCGCGTTCGTTGTTAATCTAATTATGTGCTTAATAAGGTTTTATTTTAAATGTTCCTTATAAGATACAATTCAGTCAAAAGGGTGATTGTAAGTATAAGCATTTTGGTGAGCTTGAAGCGTAAAACCGCGATTTTGACTACATCTGTAAAGGAAAAGCGTGATTCTATGTAAAAGCATTTTGGTGATCTAGAAGCGTAAAAATATAAAATTTTAACCTTGAAATCATAATTTTGACTACATTGATATGATAAACACAACATAGATTATTTACTTGAAGAAATTAAAATATTTCCTCTTCCACTAGAAAAAAAAACGAAAAATGTTCCAAATAAGATACAATATTCTTGTCATTTGGTTCCGCATTCAAAGGAGTTAATTGATTTTGTGCTTCTCTCCAGAGGAATTGAACGGAGAATAGTTGAAAATACAAGGGATGGGATGGGATGCTAAACATCGGGATGGGATTAGGTGCTAACCATTATAGGGGTTAGCAGCGTGATAACTAGCAAAAAACGCTATTAAAAATAACGAAATCACTACCGATTATTATAAAATCAATACAATATCTAAGTTAAATCACTACTAATTCAAACTAGTAGTAGTTTTTCCCTTGGTTAGGACGGTGCTAACTATTGTACAATTAGCACCGTAACCGCTCCCCTAACCATCAATTAAGTTAGCACTGTAATAATTAATTCCATCTCCATTCTTTTATTTTTTTCATAAATCTAACGGTGAGTTTGTTAAAAGGGCATTTTTGGTAGGTGGATAAGTAAATCCCAGTTGTGTTGTGCGGTATTTGGAGAGAGACCCAACCGTCCTTCCTTCTCTTTCGTCTATCTTTTCTTTTTCCCCATTTTCCTCTCTAACTGTACCTCTCCCTTTCACTCAACGATCCGTCAGGCCATTGAAAAGCCTTGCCATCGTCGATTATTTCTCCCTCGCCGCCTTCGTCTTCCCCGTCGTACGAATCGACCTTGATTGTGTCGTCATCTGCTTCAGCCTCGCCTGCACCGCCATCGTCTGCATCTGGGTGGCCTCCGCCTTCCTCGGCGTCTCCAACGGTCTCGCCTGCTCGTCGTCGTCAACTTCGGCATCGATTGTGCCATTGTCTGTATCGGCACGGCCTTCGCCGTCCTCACCTGCATCATCGTCGTATGGGTTTAGAATTTCAGATCTGGCTCTTTCTTGCCTACTCTTTGTTAGATCCAGATTAGTAGTGATTTTCAAGACTATTAATATGCAAAGGTAGTAGTATTGTTTCTTCAGTAGTGTTTTCAGATATTGGTGCGTAGTGATTGTGAATGTAAGTACTGATTCATGATTGTGTATGGAGTTGTAGTAGTGTTTTTAATTTCACTAGTGATTTTAGTTCCGTTTAGTAGTGTTTTTCATTTTAGTAGTGAAAGTTAGTAGGTCTGGTTAGTAGTGATTTCAGTTCTAACCAGTAATAGTTTTGTTACTTGTTATGTATGTTTAGTAGTGATTTTCAGTTTTGAAAAAATAATATTTGTAGTCATATTGTATCAAATTGTTGTGGTATTAGTTTCCCAAGCCTTTTGTATCAAAATCCGAAAAAATTGAAAATAAAAGACTGCCACCAAAATTCATAATAGAAACCATCCGATAATGGCACTCCCCCAAAATCTGCCCGCTAATCCCACAAAATCCGTCGGCTTCCTATATAAACATATTTAAATTTGCAATTTAATATATAGTTTTACTATGATACCCTTTTTATTTTTGTAGTCGTTAGATCTGAAATAGAGATGGAGAATTTATATGGTAGTTAGGATGGTGCTAACCCTCTATAGAGTTAGCACCCTATCTTCTTCTAAAATACAAGGAAAAGATTTGATGAGGGAAAAGTTGGAACAAGTTATTTAACATCAATGTTTTGACAAATTCACTTACATGATAGAGCCTAAGATTTGGAACAAAATATGTGGACCAATTTTTCATAATGTCGAATAGCGGATTGCATCAAATGGCATGTGTTTGATTTGTGTGCCAAATCTAGCATTAAATCCAAGAAATAAACAAACCCCTTACCAAATTGTAAAATTTGTTGCATTAATTGTGAAACAAATTGATCATGATTGAGAATTAAAGTTGAATTCTCTAGGGTAGGGGTGGGCAAACGGTATGGTCTAAACACAGTGCTTCGTGCAAACCGATTCGCATTGCAAGTTTATCAGGCTCTGTTGCATGCATGACTGTAAGCTAATTGGTGCGTTGGAACCGAACTGATCAATGGTTCAGCTGAGGTCGAGTAATGGATTAAGTATTAGGCCAATTAGCCAAGATTTTGGTCGGATACCCATAAATTATCGATTTGGTGCGATTTGAATCACAATTGCATATATAACCGCAAAATACATTTTCTAATCGATTTCATCAAATGCATGAGAGTCATAGTCGTTCTACTCTACCCGCCCGACCAGCTTCGCCCATGCTGGCAACAACTCTCCTCTGAAATCCTTCTGGAACATCTGAAATTGGAGTTGCTCCTCTACTGTGGTGCCACTGGCGCCATGACCCTTCCTTCTCGGCAAAAGCTTCCAACCTCTCTCTACAACGATGCCAGCTTCCCCACCTTTTATGTCTCCGTTATCTCGATGAAATTAGCTTCATCAATTATTATCTCCTAATCTTCTTAGAATGGCAAGGATTGTTCTGATGAGTTCCCAAATTTATTTACAAAATTTCTTAATTCAACGTATATGGACAGACATTTTGGTTGGAATGCCCGGACAACCGCATGCATAGACTAAAGAAGAAAGCTTCAAGCAAGTTTAAAAAATATCTAGGAAGGAATATGGTTTTCATTATACTTGAAGTAGTGTTTTGGTTTCCTCTAATATCTCATGAAAACAAAATCTCATTGAATTCTTACTTCGCTTTTTTTCAATTCTTGATTTTAGTTGCCATCTTAGATTTTTGTCATTTTCATGATTGAAGTAGATTTTACTCATACTACTGTCATGTAGTACAGATAAGTCATGGTCACAAAAAAATTATGTTGTGAGAATCACACTTTCTTATTTTGCTTATATTTTATTATTTTACATGAATTTTTGTGAGTTTTAGATATAATATGTCATTTATTATGCACTTTTATCAACCATGTTCTTTTATTAGTTTTTACATAAAAAATGGTCCATGTACTTTATAAATATTACCAAACATGCCCTTATGTTCATATTTTCATCCAAAAACATCCAACAATGGTCGGAATCATGGTTTAGATGACTCGATCTTGGTAAAATGGGAGGGAAGCAAAAGTTTGCCCCCTTCATTTGTATCTCTAAGTCTCATTAGAGTGAAATTATTAAGAGTGTTGAGCTATAAAAAAGAAAGAAAGAATGTTTAAGTGAAACTATTTGGGGTATTTTAGATATTTTTGTCTTGCAAATCAGATTCGATCATGATTGACGATTTTTTTATGGAAATTTTAATCGAGGGGCATGTTGATAATGTTTCTAAAGTAGAAGGTATGTTTGATGTAAATAATAGTAGATACATGTTTGATAAAACTTAATAATAAATGACATTATATCTATAAACTTTTTGCTATAACCTTTTTGTGGTGCAATGATGATTATCACTATTCATGATAGTTTATTTAATATTAATCCAAATGCACAAAACTTGCATGTGCATTAATCATACTATGATACTACGAGAGACCAAAGGTCGAAAGTCTCCATAGTATGATTTCTTTATCTACTAGTTTGTGCCGGCCTGTTGGCTGGAAAATTTCTACTTAGTAGCAATTTTGGGTTACATTCATGTTTACTGAATTAGTGTATAAGATTATGTGTTTGTGTTCGACATGATTAGTACAAAATGAGCAAAAATACTCAGTCTTTTGTGAACAATAATAACAATGTTAAGTAAATATAATTTGGATCAAATTCACTTCGACCTGATTAATTATATAAGCATAGTTGAAAGCCCATTGAACCAAACATAAAGACTTGTTTACTTTCAAGTAGCTAACTTAAATACCACTTCAATACTAATCATTGTGAATTTGTGACCTATAACATCAAATTTCCTTTTGGAGGGTGTTGTAACTATTTCGACATCTTTCACATCATCTTGCTCAACCACAAATCCTCAACAATTATGTCTCATGCTGACATTTGTGAGAGTGAAGCAATTGTAATTAGAGATTGGCCAAAGGAACCATGAAATTTGTTTGTCTCATTCTAAAATTATCAAACATGTGGTGATTTTAGAAATATATTACCTTATAAATAAAAATATTTAGTGAAATTGTCATTTATATCCCATTCCCAAACTCCCAAGAACGACAGTTATACCCCAAACTACGGGGAACAATGTCAACTAATTATGTACTTAAGTGTTTCCTTGACTGTAGAGTTAATAGTTGACCTAACGGAGGTCGGAGTATACATGACCAACGATTATTTAGTGCCTACATATCTTTCCGTGTAAAGGACATATCAGCAAATAATTTGTTGACTGTTAACTACTAACGACCACTTTAACGGATTAGAAACTCCAAAACATAATAATGTAGTACCGAGAAGAATGGAATATAAATGACAAATTTGTGAAACATCGATATTTTAAGTTGTATTATCCTTTTTAACCAAAAAGAAACTATATTGGGATGATATATATATATATATGAAGCGACATAAGGAAACAACAACGCCTTAGTATAAGCAACATCATCATTATGTTCTCAGCTTGCTTGATTGTTATAACAGTTGAAAACTTCAAGGAATTCAAAATTTTCACTTTTGGTGAAGATGATTAAGAATGTCTTGTCTTTTATCACTACTCTCAAAATATAGTTCCTCAACATTTCATTGTCGAAGATGACAATTGTTCCTTCCAAGATGAGTCTTTTATACTTGAAATGGAAACCATTAATTGAATTTAGATAGTTTTTCTTCAATATAATGACACATTATTGAGTAGTTAATATAATCAAAGTCTCTTCAATAATTCTCTAAAAATATGAGATTTAGTATGATTCTTTATGTTTAGAATCCTATACTCTCGTGTCTCGTCGACATTAGTTTACATATGGACCCCAATTAATTCAAAGCTCATTAGATACACATATTTTAATATTAGTAAATTTTTAAGGACCCCGTTAAATTGAAGTCTAGCTATGCCACTAAGTCAACAGCATGGTCCCAGCCCAGGTTATAGTCCGGCTTCGGTCTCTCTCTCTATTCTGCCTCCAACTCCAATTCCATTATTTACATCTAAGTCTCACATTGAATCTTTTCTAGAAAATATATTGAAGTCGGTTGACTAATCTCAGTAGTTGGTTACATCAACCTGTTATTGCTCTTCAACAATGGCAGAGAGATCAACATAAGCATCTCTTTAAACATTACTTATAAAATTTTGGACGTTGCAACTGAACGAGGTACCCAATTCTATTACATGGAAAGAATGGAGAGTTAAATTTGATATATAATTATCTCCCTTATATAGGGTTCGTTTGGAGAATATGAGTTTAAATCTATAGATTGTCAACAATCTAAAGATTCTAACTTTTCGGATTGTTGAAAATAGATTTTAAAATATTTATTGTTTGGTAACTGTCATTGTTAACATTCAATGAAAATAAAAAATATAATTTTATATTAAATAACATTTTTATCCTTAATAATAAATTAGAGTAGTTCAAGAAATATTAAAAATTTTGTTGATAAATATATTTGATATGATAAATAAATAAATAAAAGAAAGAGAAAAGGTAGGAGAAAAAAAATCTCACGAATCAAGATATAGAATCTCTCTGATTATGAGAGATTTGATATCCGTAGATTTTAGAGATTTGAAATCTCTAAAGCTAAAATCCACAATACAAAAAGCAACAAAAAATATAATTTTCTACAAAATCTACGGATTCAATGAATCCACGCCCTAAATCTCGTTCTCATAGAAGCAGCAACCTCCTGTGGCATTTGTTGTCAAAATACCTCCACATGCATTTGTTTTCAAAAAATGGCATTTACATTGATTAGGGGCTTTAAGTTCCAACCCGTTTTTATTTATTATGGGTTTTAAGGAAAGGTGATAAACAGGCTGATGGGCCCTGATCATTGGGCTGGAATTGACATCATATAGCCATGTATCCACACATTTTGGAGGCAGAAAATGGCGGGTTTTATGGGCAGGATACTATGACTACCCCAAAAGGGGTTGGGTTTTTGACACCCTCTCCTGCAGCTATCCACGTGTCCTTCATCTTTGAGTAAGTACTAATGATTATTGCTTTATTGATTATTGCTTTATTGGGAAAATTCTCATAATAATGATGCATGGGAAAGTTCCCATAATAATGATATACGGGAAAACAACAATCTTTCATCTCCCATTCTCTTCCTTTCAAATTTCTTTCCACCAGAACCCTCCCCCGGCGTCTTCTCATTGGAGCAAACCCTCCCTCGGGCGGTCCACCCTCTGTCGGCCAACTTCCATCAGCGGCCCAACTTATCGTTGCCTCCCTTCCGCCGACCCTCTCCCATCCCTCCGTTCCCCTCGACTCTCCTCTCCGGGGACATCGCCTTCATCACTTCACGCTGCCGGAAATCATCAATATGATCTGGACGATTCCGTCTCTAACGTCGAGCATATGGAAGACGGCGGCGCTGCCGTGAACGTGAAGCCGATTGGAGATGCCGAGGAACACCAAAACAATCTCAGTAAGGATCTGTATGCATGTCCCGTCAACTTCTCCCACCCGACAATGTACCAGTACACTGGTATTTTGTATAATTAAAGTGATACAATGCCACTACAATGGTGTTTTTCTGCGGAAAAGGTTCAGACAGACACCACTGGTTAGTGAAGCTGCGTAAACAACCTAGTTTCTTTCCATTAGGTGGTGTCAATACGGTCGTGCACTAGTATATTTGTATGAATGAACATTTATCAGTGACATAACAAGAGTACCAACCCTTGATGTTGTGGTTTTTTGTACCAGTCTAGTGATACATTGTTCAGAGACCAATATTGAAGTTTGTAAACTTGTTTTAGAATTGTTGAGGGACCAATTTCTAGATGAAATATCGATGTTGACGGGTACTGGTAACGCGTTGGATATAATGTACTTGTACCACTGAACTAATGCATATACCACTAAACTTATACATGTATCACTGAATTGATACGTGTACCACAGAGAGTATGGCCGGAGGGAGTTTACTGGTATTTGTATCATTAAAGTGATATTGCACTGCTGCTCCATTATTGTTTATCATTGTTATGAAAAATATCATTGCACTGGTATTGTTATCACTCCAACTCGTATTTCCCACTTCAAATGTACCACTTCACTTGTATTTTGTATGAGAGAAATACACTATTTTCAATAAACAGTATTCCCTAATTCAATGTATAAGCACTCCTTTGAGCAAAATAGTATCATGCATCACTGACTGGACACCAGTACGAGTCTTGGTACATATTCATGAAGGCGATCATAGTTACAAGTCTAGTGGTACATCTACCACTAGAAGATTTAGGTTAAATATATGTGATGTGCGTACCACTAGACTGGTACATGTTTCAATAAACAACTTCATGTACTGCTCTTCCAACACAAGTACCAATGCAATATTGAAGAAAAAAAACTCAACAACTACCCATTAGTGGCATCACTAACCGTGGAGCACAATCTGTTTGCAAAAATATATGAAATACAAAACAATATTAAGGGATCCCGACAATGTAGCAAACAAACATCAAGATACCATATAATTCTAGAAATTGTTTCAGGTAAGCATAAACATTGGGTGATCAGCTACCTAAGGATGGCAGGATCACTTGGGTTTGAGCACGCAAATATGAGTCGTGCATCTCAGCAGTCTTAACTGTCACCTCCTCAAGTAGGAGGTTCCTCTTGTCATTCCTGCGGCCATCGTTTAAAATATAATCAAGATAACTATCAATGTAGTGGTACCTTACAATTAAGATAACTATCAATGCAGTGATACAATGATAAATACAAAAGTAGATCAACTATCACAGCAGTGATAGATCAGAACAACTATCGAAGCAGTGAAACAATTACAACCCAAAATGTGTAACAAAACTATCACTGTAGACATTTAAATGCATGCAGACTCTCTAGGCAACTATCACTGACATGATGGAAAACTTGCCACATGACACGCTAAAACACAGCACCTAACTGCAACCAAGTGTAATCGCAATCCGGAAATGCAGTAACAGGCAATCTCTAATTGTCAACCCGGGGTCTGGGTCTACTGCCTACTCCGTGAATATATGTTATCTAGCAAACTAAGTTGAGTGATTGTGATTTTAATTAAAAGCAGTCAGAAAGCAGGAAATGGTTCGGTTTTCTAAAGCAAGGGAAGAGTCACTCGGGAATGAGTCCCCTTAGCTCCTTAGTTAGGTCTCAGTTGTAATTACCCTGGGCTGATTAACTATTGATTAAAATGCGGAAGATCCGACAGTAGCTTGGAATCTCTTAAGCTGACCAAGCCCTCTCAGGCAGGCTAACCGGCAGGCGACTAACCTTCACCGGGATAGACTGATGAGGCAATAAGCACAGAACTCCACTACTGGAATTGGGTTCCAGTACAAAGCAGTAAATTGATTAACTCTCGTATAACCAATCTACCACTACCGATTGATGAAGCTTTAACAACCTAATCAGTATTATCTATCTCAGGTTGCAGCAAAAATCAAGAAAAGATGATCAGACTTCAATTGACTCAATGAATCATGCATCAATCGATTATAATCAAACAGTATAACAATCCCAAGTCATTACAATCAAGATTCCTAACACATGGAACTAGGGTTCTTCATACCCAAGCGAGAGAAAGTTCTACTCCATAGAGAGAGAGGAAAATAGAAATTAGAGTAGTCATACTCATAAAGATGAGGATATTCTGCTCTGGGATGTCGATCTTCAATCCTGGGGATGCAATCTTGGCTTCAATGGTGAGAAATCCACTCCAAATAGCTCCTAGGGTTTGTTCTTCGCACTTTCTCTCTCTAAAACTCTGTTTTTGCTCCAAAACGTCGATTCCCTCTCATTTGGCTCGAATCTGCCTCAAAAACCCGATTATGGGCAAAATACGTCGAGGTCACGGCCGTGTTTTGCTTTTGCCCGTCCGTGCCCTTGCCACGTGTTAAAAACACGCCCGTGTCGGCCAAAACACGGTTGTGCCTAAATATGGACACGCCCGTGTTTTTCTTTAGGCCAGCCCTTGTTTTGCTTTTCCATCAGTTCAGCTCTCGCACATTAAAACACTGGCGTGCCTGTTTGTGTCACGGCCGTGTTCTTCAGGCCTCCTGCCCATGTTTTGCCCCCAGCTCGACCGAATAACCTCCAAACGCCCCGAATCTCGTGCTTAGGCTTTCCTTCGACGTCTGGGACCTGAAATATGACAAAGTAGCACAACCCAGCGTAAAACGGGCCAAAAATACACGACTACTAGCCGCAAACAGATAAGAACTAAGGGTGCAAACATGTGCAAATACATCGTTATCAAATTCCCCCACACTTAACCATTTGCTTGTCCCCAAGCAAACCAAGTCAGACACAAGGTAAGCTCAAAACGTTTTAATCAAGCAGGCTTTATGGACATGTCATATCGGCACAAAACACGTGAATCATACTGGATTTTGATCATTAACACATGGACAACCTCAACGACAACCTAGACAACCACCACAGATGACATTCGAGTGCATCAAAGTCGAGCAAAGGAAGAGTCTCCCTTTTGTTCACCAACCAACATGGACTTGACTCAACCACTTATTCGAGACAGTCACTTCATGCAGAAAGCTCAAGATATCATAATTAAGACCGAGCAATCTAGGTCCTCACCGGGGTAAAGAGTGTAGAAAATATGAGGAAATAAATCGCTCACTCTCGACCAGTGGGGTCAGGACAGAATTTTGATGCAAGATGTGCATATTCATACTCTCAATTCCTAACGTCTCTTCAACTTGACGGCAGCCTCTAAATGTTAGAGTTCACATATCGGGTGTCATCACTAACTAATCCGGAGGTCTTAGACACAGGTTCAGATGACTGGCTAGGGTCTTGGACATGGGGAAAAGGCCTTTTAGGTAGTGGAAGTATTCATAGCACAAGGTTCCACAATTCCAAACCCAACACAATCATAGTCAATCAAACCACTCTTTCTTTCTGCCATTCTGCATTACTCACATTCTTTAGATCACAAGAGCGAAGGAGGTCACATAAATGTTAGTATTTCCAAGCCACACTGCTAAGAAACACTACTCAATGGGCACTATTCAGATTTTGTGGTGGTGGCTCTATTTTGCTTTCATTCATTTTTTTTTCCATTTCTTGAGAGAACCACCACCTATGCACATTTTCAAACACATGCCCAACTTTTTTAAGAACTACCTCCAACCCTCACATTATATTTAGCGAGAAACAGCAGAGAACATGTAAAAACCACTCTATGGAACCTTCTAAAAGATGCAAAGGAGTGATTTTCCATTGTAGACCGAAAGAAAGGATAACACACGGCTCAAAGGGCTGACTAGGGGGTATGACACATCAGGAGAGTCAATTTGGTCGTGGGCTAATCCTATGCCTCCATCGTCTTAGCTAATGGCAACGTGAATGCTACACATCATGGAAGAGGGATCTATCGCACAAGAAAGAAACGAGCATGCTCAAATCTCACATGGCTACCTATATGCTCTATCTCTCATTCTGATTCCCTGAACTAGATGCATAAATGACTGTCAAGAGAAAGTGATCAATCCAAGTCACAGTTGGTAAACAAACCATTGAAAAACTGAACCCCTACACAGTTCTACTACACGTCTCAGTCATCATTATAGGCTGTCCTAGTTACAATCAAGTTGTCATGCATTAATTCGAAAGCCATTCAATTCACCAATCAAATCCACAGTGCCAATACGATCAAACATCAAGCAAACAGCAGTACCTGGAGCCCTCAAATCTCAAGATTTGGACAGCGGACTAGGCTCCAAGCACACATATATACGTTCCAATGAATACAAAGAACCCCCCCCCCCCTAAACACACACACTTAAATGCGATAGTGTCCTCAATGGAGCAGAGGGAAGGGGACGATGTTACCGTGAAATGAGATCAGGAACGGGGACTGGAAGGCAGACCCGTTAATAGCAGGGGACTGGAAGGGGGACCAGTCCAAGGCATAGAGCTAAAGTCATCAAAAGACACACACTGAGTGAAAGAACCGGAGTTCCAAGTGGAAACCGAAAAACAAACCTTGGTGGGGTTGTCTCCCCACAAGCGCTTCTTTTACGTCTTTAGCTGGACGGTGGCTCCTAAGTTTCGGTCCACCCCAGAACCTCCTTGAAGTTGAGGTTCTCATCGATGATGTGGAGTCTCAAGTCACAAGCAGGTGATGTGATAGGTGATGAAGATGGCTCGTGGCCTTGAGGAAGATGAAGTCTCCACTCTCGAGACCTCTCCTTCGCGTTTGCTCGTCTCATTTCCCCAAACCAGATAAGATATCTTTGATTGACCACTATAGCATCCACCAAGAGGGATTGATGTTGATGTGGTATTGGTCTGGCAAAGAGACATTGCAAATGGGTCCTTTCCAAGCAGATCCTCGAAGTTTGGTGGAGATATCACATGTAACATAGGGCCGGTGCAAGCCTCTTCCACCTCAACTTCATCCTCAGCCTGGACGCCAATTGCTTCCTCAAACCCCCTTCCTTCTTCACAATGTGGTATCTCCCCTTGGAAAAGATCAAGAACTTCCTCTTCTTTGCTTTCTTCCTCATCCTCCACAACTTCTTCCCTCACCCTTTCTCGCTCTTCTTCTTCTAGCACAGATTGGAGAGCAAGTCGCCATGTAATTTTTTCAATGAGATCATCTTGCATCTCTTCGCTCGGGCCCAACATATCAGAGCAGAAATGGGGACAGTTGTAATCTACCACCAGAGGATACACTTGATCATGATTATCATGGGAGCTTTCCGTGAAAACTTCTGCATGCTCCTCAACATCCTCATGATTGCCTTCTTCTTCCTCCTCCTCTACTTGTATGGCAGCATAAAGGTTGTCTTGAGAAAACTGTGCACAAGCTTTCTCGATGACCTCTATGTGCTTCTTTATGCTCCGAAGGGTATCCTCTGTTTCACGGGGAAAGGAGAAGTTAGTTTGGGCCATGGCCTGGATATGAGGATCCATCTCAGGAAAGGATCTCTCAGGTACTCGAGCAATCTGCTCCACGAGAAGCCTCAAGTGATAGTTTGGATCTGGCTGTGGAGTGTAGCATGGCTCTGCCGGATGGCCCATGAAGGTTGTGGCTAAATCAAGATCTGATGGCCCTTCTAGTTGTGGGAGGAATTCTTCTTGATAATGAGATTGTTCATGAAATACCCAAGGGTCTGATTGTTCTTCGTAGTAGGGGGGTTGGTACTGAAACCCGAATCCATAGTCTTCTCCTCCTTGGGTGCTCCATGAAGTCTCAGGGTAATACCACTCGGGTGGTGGTGGCTACCCCCAATGGTTGGAGAAGCCTTGAGAATCCATGTATCAGATCTGCACCAACAAAAACAAAATACCCAAGTGAAAAGCAAGGGTGGAAAAGAGAGGATGCATAAAAGTAAATGCTAAAGTAACAGACTTTCATGTTTCTACAATAACCTAGAGGTCCCCGGCAACGGCGCCAAAAACTTGACACACTAAAACACAGCACCTAACTGCGACCAAGTGTAATCGCAATCCAGAAATGCAGTAACAGGCAAGCTCTAATTGTCAACCCGGGGTCTAGATCTACTGCCTACTCCGTGAATATATGTTATCTAGCAAACTAAGTTGAGTGATTATGATTTTAATTAAAAGCAGTAAGAAAGCAGGAAATGGTTCGGTTTTCTAAAACAAGGGAAGAGTCACTCGGGAATGAGTCCCCCTAGCTCCTTAGTTAGGTCTCAGATGTAATTACCCTGGGTTGATTAACTGTTGATTAAAATGCGGAAGATCCGACAGTAGCTTGGAATCTCTTAAGCTGACCAAGCCCTCTCAGGCAGGCTAACCGGCAGGCGACTAACCTTCACCGGGATAGACTGCTGAGGCAATAAGCACAGAACTCCACTACTGGAATTGGGTTCCAGTACAAAGCAGTAAATTGATTAACTCTCGTATAACCAATCTACCACTACCGATTGATGAAGCTTTAACAACCTAATCAGATTCTATCTATCGCAGGTTGCAGCAGAAATCAAGAAAAGATTATCAGACTTCAATTTACTCAATGAATCATGCATCAATCGATTATAATCAAACAATATAACAATCCCAAGTAATTACAATTAGGGGTGGGCATCCGGTTCGGTTTTACCGAACCGAACCGAACCGAAACCGAACAAAACCGAACCGAAACCAAATAGCATTGTTTCGGTTCGGAATTCGGAAGGCAAATCCTGACATTTCGGAAACCAGGGTATGCTCAACCGAAACCGAAATCCGATTAACCGACCGAAAAACCGAAATAAGTAAAGTAGACTACAAACTAAGCAAGCCCAGTACTTACATAGCCCAACTAACAGCCCAAAACCAAATGATTGCCCAGCCCAACCTTTCTAAACCCTAATAATGCAGCCGATTCTCTTCTCTCTTCGGCAGTCTCCACCAACGGCTCCGCTTTCATCCCTAGTCTTCGTCCACCATAGAGCAACCAACGAGAAAAAGAGACCAGGTCGCGCCGTTTTTCTCTCCGCCATGAGTCCCATCTTTTCTCTCCGCACCAGGTTCCATCACCCTCCACCTTTTCTAAGCATGGCGAACTCCCCTTCAAGGCTTCAACCTCAACAAAAATCGGAAAAAGAAGCGAGGGTCAGAATCAGTTCTCACAATCCTCTCTCCTTGGGTGAAATCAGATCTCCAAACTGACATTAAACCGAAATAGAAAATTACCTTCATAGCCGGTGTCGTTGGATGCATCATCAGGAGACAGGAAGATTGGCGACAGTGGTTTGTAGTTTGTTTCATCTTCCTTCCTCCCCTTTCTATTCTACGATTTTTCTTCTCTGTTTGTTGGTAATGGAAATTGGCCAAAGTGGAGAAGGGGAAAACATGAGAGAGAGAGATAGAGAGAAAGAAACGTGGGGGAGAGAAAGAGTCAGAGAGGAAACCAAAAAGAAAAGGCAGCAGGCAAAAACGAGGGGCAGCAGTAGCAATTCGGTTCTGACCCTTCAAACCGAACCGAACCGAGTTGTAATTCGGTTCGGTCGAACCGAACCGAATTACAACTCGGTTCGAATTCGGTTGGGGCGTTGGGGATTTCGGAAAATCGGCATATCCTGGTTCGGTTCGGTTCAAACCGAACCGACCGAACGCCCACCCCTAATTACAATCAAAGAACTAAGGGTGCAAACATGTGCAAATACATCGTTATCACCACACCAGTGATGCCCTTCTAGTGCAAGCATGGTAGCTACCACTCCAGTGATAGTTTACTGGATACCCAACCAAAAACAAAACAAGAAACAACATGCAACCATTTGTGCTACTCCGACAGACTCACCGGCGATGTGATTTACAGCGGCTGCTGAAATGGTATGTTGGTAGATGGCGATCAGAAGAAATGATACGCTGAAATGAAAAACATGGTAGGCTTAGACAAAAGAAAGACCTTAAAAAACATAGAAAGAGGAGTAGAAAGAGGAAAATGTAAGGGAGTAAAACCCAACACCTACTGTCGATTTCGGGAGGACGGAGACTAGTTCCATGAAATAGTTAGTTCTTCGAAGTCGTGTCGCCGATGGAAGGTGGTTTACGGAAACAGAGCAAAAGGGAAGAGGAAAGGAGTTGGTTGGCAGAATGATTCTCGATCGATGGAAGGAATAACCTCTGTGGTTGTCATCGAGGAAGTTCGAGGATGGTCGGCTGCTGGTGATGGAAGGAGGAGGGTTTGGTCGTCTAGTGGGAGAGACGAAAGCGGAAGTAATTCAAAAAGGGAAAGTCAAATCATTTTTTTCTAGTCCCCAAATTTCTTCCCCTTTCCAATGTGGGTGACGCCAGCTAATGAAGGATTTAATGCACAAAAAAGGCTGCTCAATCCTCACCCTACATTACCACTAATTTAGATGGACGGTTGTGGATGGGGGTGTCGAAAATCAGTCCCCCCCATGGGGTAGTCAAGCTAACCGATCCCCGGGTTTTATAGGTAAATTTTGAATTATAATGTCTTTGGCGAAAATTAAGGGGAGAGAAGCAAAATTTCAATGCTAAAAATCTTATAAAACTCTACTATTATATATTGGTGGATTGTAAAATAATGAAGACGTTCAGCCTTTAATCTCCCTTTAATAATAAAAAGAATCAAACTATGAATAATGAATAATGAAACAATCAATCACTACAGGGATGAGATTAGGTGCTAACCTCCTAAGAGGTTAGTACCATACTAACTACACCAACAACCGTTAGATTAGAACAATAATCCTAGGGTCAGTATTAATTGAGGGATAATTCAGTCAATAATTTTCAAAACCCTAATATAAATACTCATGATCCCCCTCTTTCTCACTTTTACGATTTCCTCTCCCGATCTCTCCTCATTGTGTCGTTAAAACCTAAAAAAACAGAGAAAGAAGACTTGCAACGGAGGAGGCGCTGATGGCGGCAGAGAGGGTGTTCTTGTCGCTGTCTTTGGCCGAAGAGACGTTGGCGGTGACGGTTCTTTTTAGGTCCACCGTTGCCGAGATCTGGTGCTCCGCCACAGTCCGCTCTTTCGAAGCCATCGACTCGGGGGAAATCAGCGGTATTCCACCACCGCCCAGATCTGGTGCTCCGCTGTCAGTTCCGCGTCCAAGGCCATCGATTAGGCGCAAACAGTGACCGAATGGTGAGAAAGTGGTGTGTTTGATTTGATGATCGGAACCCTCTATTAAGAAATTAAAGGTACTTCATGCATAATCACCATTCTTGGTGGGTGTGGAGATAAGATTTCGCCGGATCCATTATCAAAGAGGCGTTGATCAATCCTAGAGTTGAATAGTTGTGATTATTTAATGTAATAGTGTTTATAGCTTAGTTTGGCCCTGCTGTAGCTTTTGCAGAAGCAGCTTCTGTCTGTAGCTTTTAGATAAGTACTTTTCAAAGAAAGCAGTTTAGCGTTTGGCTGTAAAACTATTAGAAGTGCTTTTTAATATGAGCGGTTGTGTAAAATGACTATAAAGGACTTATAAAATAAAATAAAAATAAAAATTCTAAACAATAAAAAGTAGTCAAAATGGATCTTGTTAGATTTCTTTTATATTAAATAATATGATTTTATAATTTATTTTATTTTTAAAATAATATAAATGAAGGAAAATTATATTTTCTGAAATAAAATTAAAATTTAGTATGGATAATCTTGTATTTTCAAAACAGCTTTTCGCAGAAGCTCCAAATCGGAGCTTCTGCTTTTATGTTATACAAAAGCGCTTTTCGGCTTTTCAAAAGCCGAGCTTTTAGAGGTATTTGGCCCTGCTTCAGCTTTTGAAGCCGAAAAGCACTTCTAAAAGCCGGGCCAAACATAGGCTATGTTTGTAAATATCAGTGTAACTGTGTAATTGCGTTGATTAGTAGTGTTTCGGTAGTTGTGATTCTTATTTGTATAGAGTGTAATAGTTATGTTTAAGTAGTGATTATTACTGTAATTATTGGTTTTTGTCAACTATTAGTAGCGTTTGTTTATAAGTAGTATTAATTTCTAGTAGTGATTTTACTAAAATTTGGCGACCATTACTACTTAATTATCGGTAAAACATTACTAATTAAATTAAAATAACTAGTGATAGTTATATAAAAACACTACTATAAGCCACCAAAATTGCTACTTAAAACCCTAGCTCCGATAAGTCCAAAGCGGCGATTCTCCTCCACCTACGAAGAGTTAGTTGTTGCGCTATCGCCGATGGTTGCGCCTGCGCCGGGGGCTGATCCCCCGGACGCTAGCAATCTGGAACCTCAATTAGGGGATCGCCGACCACCGCTGACAACTTCATCCCCGAATGCGAAAGGAGAAAGAGAAACTCAATAGCTAAAGAAAAGAGCGAAACCAAAGACGAATAATCCCCTGTTTAGCAAAGACGATACAATGGAAGACATGTCCTCCCAAGAAACTGAGCAAGGAAGCCCGAAGCAAGGTGATGAAGAGAACGCGTGGAAGGGTAGTGGAGCACGCAAGCTGTTCAACGACCTCCATGCAGAAGATGACTGGTACGTAGGTGAATCGGATTCTAAAGATGTGGTTGCGGCGATGCGTGAAGATGATTTGGATGATGAGGTCCCGGAGAATGATGATCCCAGTTGCCCCACGATAGCGTTTACGGTGATGGAAAAACAAAGATGGAGGCGCAAATGGCGGTCCGCCCTAATTGTTACTGTTTTGGGACGTACGTTCCCTTACCCAGTTATCATGCGTAGATTGGAAACACTATGGGCGAAGTGTGGGGTGCTACAAGTTTCGAGCCTCTCCTTCGGTTCTATGCGGTCAGATTCTCGAGCCAGTTCGACTACGAACAGGCGGCTATAGGAGGCCCCTGGATGATCGAGGACCACTACATAACGGTAAGACCTTGGCGGCGCAATTTTTATCCACGAGTAGCAGAGGTGGCCTCGACCATGGTTTGGACACGCCTACCGGGACTTCCGAGTGAATTTATTAAAAAAGAGGCTGTTGAACGAATAGCGGCAAAGATTGATCGACCTGTACGAGTTGATAGGGCAACACAATTAGGCGATCGTGGCCATTTTGCAAGGGTTTGCATCGAGGTGGACCTCACTAAACCATTACTCTCATAATACAAGATCAAAGGGATCACCTATTATATTGAATTCGAAGGTCTCCACCGAATATGCCCAGAGTGTGGGAGGTATGGTCACTCGAAAGTGGCCTGTCCGAAGCTAGTACCGCAAACAGGAGGTGAGGTTCCACCAGTCTCCCCAGCGGAAGAACCAGCGCCACAAAGATCCCTCTATGGGGAATGGATGGTGGTGAAGTCGAAAGGAAGGAATGGGACTAGGCCGCAACACTACGCTACAAATCAGGCAACGAATCAACAGGTTCGAAAGAATCCAGAAGCAACCAACGCACAGGAATCAGGCTCACGCTTTAGTGCTCTGGTAGAGGAGGAGGTGGAACTAGACCAGACTGAGGCTGAGGTAAACGTGACTATACAGGAACATTCTGTGCCTGGTGAGCAAATCGAAGAGAAGGGGACCCCAGATCCGCGAGCTGCAGCAAGGGTAGCGCAGAAGGGAATATCTCCTGAACCCCCAGCGGTGGTAGTAAATGATAAAGCAATTCCTAGAGGGGCTTCGAGGCCAATGATGGGATCATTTAAGGAAGGGAAGTCGGGTGCCCCCACCCATCAGGCAAAGATGATCGCGAATAATAGAGTAAACTCGATGGGGAAGGCGGCTACAGAGAAAGGGAAAAGTCAGCATAAGCCGATGGAGGTTGGGTCCAAACCAAGCGGGCAGTATCCCACGGGTAGCAGGAAGGGAATTGGGCCAAAGACTAATTTATCTGATGGTGCGGGGAACCTATCCCCTTCGGAAGCCAGATGAGAATACTATCTTATAACTGCCGTGGACTGGGGAATAAGCGGGCAGTTAGTTCTTTACGAGCTCTTTTGAGGCGCTCTTCCCCCCATGTGGTTTTCCTCATGGAAACGAAACAAACTGTAGCTGAAAATGAAAAGTTGAGAGACTCGTGTGGATTCACTAAGGGTGAATGTTGGCCAGCTACTAGTACAACGAGGAACAGAGCTGGTGGTGTTAGTATATGATGGGGGGAGGATTTATCTATCACCCGCATGGATATCTTGGACAACTTTGTGGATATGGATGTCGAGGACGAGTTGGAGGGGAAATGGCGCTTCACCGGAATTTATGGATGGCCGAATAGTGGTGTGAAATGGATGACATGGGAACTGCTAGAGCGACTTAGACAACAATGGGATGGCCCATGGTTGTGTGGCGGGGATTTTAACCAAGTCCTGAACTCTGCTGAAAAGAGTGGAGGGAGGTGTGCCCATGAACCGGAGATGAGTCGATTTGGGAGCTGCCTGGTGGTTACGGAACTTCGGGACTTGGGATTCCATGGTTATCCATATACCTGGGCGAATGGACAAACTAGAGGAGGTTTTATTGAAGAAAGGTTAGATCGCTTGGTGGAAAATGAAAAATGGAGACAATTATTTCCACATGGTGCTGTGTAGCATTGGGACCGGGCGAATTCAGACCATCGTCCGATTATATGTGATACGCGCGGATCAGAGGATGGGGAAGTTAAGTGGGGGAGATCTTTCCAGTTTGAGTCGCTCTGGGCGAAGTATGAGGATTGTATGAAAACAATAGAGACAGAGTGGGGTGGCTCAGGGAACCGCGATGTGTCGTCAAAACTGACGGACTACCGTATTCAACTAGAGCAATGGAGTGCGCACACTTTCCCGCCGTTTGCGAAACATAAGGCGCGTATAATCCGTGCTTTGCGCGCCTTGGAATGGAGGCCAAAAACTGAAGAAGTACTTAACCAATGTCGTATTTTGGAGAATGAAATGGCCGATGTACTGGATAATGAAGAGCAATATTGGAAACAGAGATCACAGGCTGATTGGCTCCAAGGGGGTGATAAAAATACTAATTTTTTCACCGTAAAGCTTCTGCGAGGAGGAGGAGGAGGAACACAATAAGGAGAATAAAAAACGAAGCTGGGAGATGGTGCGTGGGACAAGAGGAAGTGTCGGACTGTATGGTAGAGTACTACAGTGGGCTGTTCACGGCTGGAGAGGCGCCGTAAGACTGGTTGGTCCTTGACTCGGTTGCTCGAAAGGTCTGTGACGAAGATAATGCATGTCTTCTCAGGCCATTCTGTCGGGAGGAGATTTTTGAAGCTTTGAAGCAGATGGGGAAGCGTAAAGCCCCAGGAGCGGATGGATTCACTGTTTTCTTCTTTCGCAGGTATTGGCATGTGGTTGGAGAGGAGGTCTTGAAGGCGGTACTAGAGATCCTTGAGACGGAAGTGATGCCAGCAAATCTCAACCATACCCTCATCGCCTTGATCCCAAAGACGAAGAAACCCACTTCCCCAAAGGAGTTTCGCCCCATCAGCTTGTGCAATGTTTTGTACAAGATTGTCTCTAAAGTGCTAGCTAATCATTTAAAGCCGCTTCTTGATAAGATCATCTCGCCTCATCAAAGTGCTTTTGTCCCAGGGAGATTCATAACTGATAACGTCATGGCGGCTTTTGAATGTTTTCATTCGATGAAGAAAAGCAAAAAGTGGAAGCATGACTATTTCGCGGCTAAAATTGATATGGCAAAAGCCTATGATCAGGTGGAATGGAAGTTTCTGGAAGGGATGATGAGGTGGTTGGGCTTTGCGGATGGCTGGATTAAGCTTGTTATGATGGGGGTGACGACTATCTTGTACTCTGTGCTAGTGAATGGGCATAGATCCCGTACTTTTGTTCCTAGCAGAGGGCTACAACAGAGCGACCCACTGTCACCTTATCTGTTCCTGCTTTGTGCAGAAGGATTATCGGGCTATGTAACTAAGGCCCAGAATGAGGGTCGGTTACACGGCCTGCAGGTGACTAGGGGAGCTCCGATGATTACCCATCTATTTTTTGTTGACGACAGTATCTTTTTTGCAAGGGCCACCCAACAGGAGAGTTTGGAACTAAGGAATATACTTCAAGCGTACGCCAGAGAGTCGGGGCAACTAGTGAATTACCAAAAATCAGAAGTCTCCTTTGCTGTGAATGTCAAGATGCATAATTGGCTCATTGTGGGAGGCACGCTGGGAATGCAGATTGTGGACAAGCAGAATAAATACCTGGGACTGGTTACTGAAGTAGGGCGGTCCAAGAAAGAACTTTTTGTGGAGCTGAAGGAAAGGGTGAGGAAAAAATTGAAGGGGTGGAAGGAAAGAACCATGTCTGTAGCGGCTCGTGAGACTCTCATCAAGTCTGTGGCCCAGGCACAGCTGAGCTATGCGATGTCAGTGTTCAAGATTCCAGAGGGTATCCTGGACGAAATCCATAGTCTTATCACCAACTTTTGGTGGGGTCAGAAGGAAAGTGAACGGCGAGCGCATTGGCTACGACGGGAAGAACTTGCTATTTCAAAGGAGGATGGGGGTATGGGGTTCCGAGACATGAAAGGCTTTAACATGGCTTTGCTGGCAAAACAACTTTGGTCTCTAAGCCAGAGACCCTCGCCCTGATAGCAAAGCTGTTTCAAGCTAAGTACCACAAACACTGCTCTATTTTGGAAGCTAGTACTGGCCCCCGACCGAGCTATATCTGGCGCAGTTTGATGGAATCCCAGGAGTTCTTATGCCAAGGGCTGCGTTGGAGAATTGGTAATGGATCAAGGGTGAGAATTTGGGGTGATAAGTGGCTGCCGCCAGGGGAGTACTCGTTCATCTCGTCAGCGCCAAGGGGTCTCCCTGTAGATTCTCTCGTTCGCGATCTCATTGACCCAAATACGGACCAGTGGGATTTAGAGATCATCGGACAATGCTTCCCGGAAGAGATTGCCCAAACAATCCTGTCTATTCCGCTGCGGGGACGCGAAGGGCAGGACCAGCTGGTATGGCACTCTAACTCTAATGGTATCTATAGTGTCCGAGATGGATACTGCAAATGGCTGGAAGAGTTTAAGGCAAAGAAGCATATATCGCAACATGGGACTAAGGAATTTTGGCAGGTGGTTTGGAAGCTAAATATCCCACCGAAAGTCAGAACCTTCCTTTGGAAATTTGCTAGGGAAATCCTCCCAACTGGGGCTAAGGTCAATGCTAAAAACGAGAGATAGAGTGATAGGTGCCCGTATTGCGACCAGAGAGAAACCCAATGGCACATGTTTCGTGAATGTGCGTGGAGTAGCAAGATTTGGCGCACATCCTCATTCACAAACATTTTTGAAATGCAAGGGGTGGGAGACAGTTTGGATTGGGCATCTAAAGTCATGCGTGAGAAGGAGACAAAGGTTTTCGAAGGCTGGGCAATGCTCTTATGGGCACTGTGGAAGGAAAGGAATGCACAGCTATTCAATGGCACGAAGTGGCGAGAAGACGAAGGTTTTCGAAGGCTGGGCAATGCTCTTATGGGCACTGTGGAAGGAAAGGAATGCACATCTATTCAATGGCACGAAGTGGCGAGAAGACGAAATTGTGCTGCGATCCGGACAGTTGCTTGAAGAATACCAACAACATCAGCTGAGGAACGAGACCAAAAAATTTCAAACTGAGATATCGAGGTGGAGAAGACCACCGGAAGGCTGGACGAAGGTCTACACGGACGCAGGGATACTAGCAGAAGGAGGAGTTGGCCTGGGAGCGGTTATTCGAGACTCCGATGAAAGGTTCATTGCGGCGTCGGTGAAGAAAGTCCGAGGGGAACCATTGTGTGGATCTAGGGAAGGCGCTTGCGGCGGAATTTGGGGTTCAGCTCGCTAACCAGCTAGGCTGTGCTCGGATTGCCCTTGAAGCCAGGATGAAGCCATTTCTGAGCTGGGAGTCAT